TGCACAATTACTGTAAGCATGAATTGGTATCTTGTCCTGAAGGAATGATCTTCTCTGAAAATACCAGTTTGTCTGAAGCTGATTTTTTCAATGGAAAATTATCCAGAGCTGCTGTAATGTCACTTTATGTGCTATATCTACAGCATATACCTCTTAGAAATGTATTGCCATCTTTTTTATTACATAAATTATGAAAGCATTAATTAAAAAGTACATTATTATTAAATGTGTATTACTGGGGTGTGTGATCAGAAACATTGTCTACAGTGTAATGTTGAGCTCCTATACAGTACCCTCTATTTTCCAACTGCATAGAATTTACAATACACATCAGATCTGCAAGATCTGGCTTCAGCATTGTTACAGATTAATAACTTTGCTCTATGTAACTGCATTATGTAAGAAATAGATTCCTTTTAGCTCTCAATACATGATTGTAATTGAAAGAAATGGATCAGAACCAGTACTTTTTTGGGCATTCTTCAGTTCCTGAAAAAAAAGTTTGCCTTTGACATGAACTCAATGTTCCTGTAGGCCTGAATAAACAAAGGATGTTGGAAATCTATCTTAATGACAAGAACATATCTGTTTCCTAGCAGTCATAAAGCCTTATGGGAAGTTGTTGTCCGTAATGTTGACCAGAAAAGTTTATTGATAGCTAATTAGTGATCTTTGGAGCACGGGCCAGCTAAATAAAAAATGAAGTAAATATAAATGTAAAAATAAATATCTAGGCCCTCAATTGTTTGCCTGTTCTCTTGGATTTGTTATCTCATATACCATGATAAAATTTACGCTTACAGAAAAAAGATATGGTAAGCCAGATGTCATAAACTGTACCTGTTGCTTGCTGTGAAATCATGTATTTTCAGTTGTTCTGACAGACTAACAACTAAATTGGCAATCATACAGTCTCTGGCAAATGAAACTAAAATCATTTTTCACTTTTGCCTTGGATATTATCACTTTATTAATGGAAAACATTTGCTGAATTAGGCATTTAAACCCTTCCTCCTCTAGTTACAGTTTTTCTTTTACTTTCACCCGCTTAACTGTAGTCGTCTAGTGATGAAACCTAACGGAGAGTCCAATATCCTATATTTTCCTTCCATCCACCTTCTATCCCACCTTACCCACTACAGGGTCACGGGAAAAGCTGGAACCTTATCTGGAAAGCAATGGGCACAAGGGAGGATACACCCAGGACATGATGCCAATCCATTGCAGGGCACACACAGATACAAGCATTTATACACTCACACGCAGAATCAGAATTTCCCAGAAGCCAATTCACCTACAGCACCAGTACAGGGGGGAGAAACTGGAGCAGCTGGAGGAAACCCATCTGAACACAAGGAGAGCATACAAACACCATGCATATAGCTCCCTGTGAATTTAGTACAGAGCAACAGCACTGTGAGGCACTAATGCTAACCACTGTGAAACGTACTGCCGATGCTCTGTTTTGTACATTGCAATTCTGCTGACTGCCTAAGTGGAAGTCTGCCTAAAGAAAGAAAGACCAGATTCCTGTGAAGTATTTCTCGGAGGTGACAGTGAACAGAAACATAACCTTCAAGGGCTGGAACCTAAAGTCTGTTGATTGCAGGGGCATGGTAAGAGCTCTTGTCTGAGCTTCCAGTAACACATACTGTATAATTGTCATTAATGGAGAATGTCCTCCTGGGAACAGGCAGAAGTTGCTAACATCAAAAAATTGTTTCACCCGCAAGTGAACTCCTGGAGACACACACTGCTGTTTAATATGCCAAGTAGAAATATCCCCCAGTAGAGTTTCAGTTTAGAGGCTTGAAAAACTGCATTTCACTGATAATATAAGTTCGAATCTCATTTAATCCAGTGTTTATGTTTAAATTATTACATGCAGTACACATCTGAAATCAATTGAAATTTAAGGAATAAGTCGCTGTATAAAATAAAATGCTGTAAAATTGTATTTTTATCCAGTAATTGCAATAGTTTATTAGTGTCTAGAAACATTATGCTCTGAAATGCAATCATAATGTTGGGCTTAAATGAAAAGAAGTATTATCAGAAAGATATTTCAAATGTAGATATCAGTCAAAGAGGCTTAGTTGAACCAAACAATTCAGGCTAACCTAGTCCCTTCTGCATGCATGATTTAAGCTGTTTTGTTTCAGTTTATATTTAAGAGACAAGGTCACCCAAATTCTGGCTTGTAATTAAGCATGTTTATATCATGACTGTGAAAGTCTGACCTGTTGTTTGTGTTGTTGACCTGTTGCCTTGGGGCAACACAGTTGTAACAAAGCCTTGAAGAATCCAAGCTGAAGTTTGTGGGTTAAAGTGCTTACTTCAAATGATTCCATTATATTTTTGAACAGGTAACTATACCTATTTACTAATTGCTAGTTTCAAGTACAGGTTCCCTTTGCTAAATTGCGTAATTCTAAAAAAATGTTAAGATATTCTCTGATATGCATTACAAAACTACAGGGTTTTCATCGTTTTCAGATGTTTTTCAAAGAGGGGTCAAACCAAAAGTTGCATTGTGTTATTAGAAACTTTCCGAGTGCAACTGCGAGCATTTCTAGTCTGGACAAGTGTGCAAGTCTTGCACTGTAATTAAAAAAATTAAAATTATTTATCAGAAAAGCTTAACTTAACTTAACTGGTTCCATTCTTCACCCCTCTGCTTTTCTTAGTACCACCATCCATGGTCTCCTCTATATATTGTAATTGTGTTTTATCTTGTGTATACTTTTTATTTATTGATGTTGTCATCCTGTAAAGCGCTTTGAGAAGCCACCTTGAAAGACGCTATATAAAATGAAGTTTTTTATTTTTTATTATTATTATTATTATTATTATTATTAAAACTAATTTTAAATGTGGGTCAATAAACATTTTCTGTGTACATTTACATATTTTTCTTATATATCCACACATTCTCTAACTTCTTTATCCAATAAAGGGGAAACTGGAGACGTCTCAAGATGAAGAATTGAGCAAAGCCTCAAGACAGGAATGTTATATACAGTATCTTAATACATAAGAGTAACATACATTACAGAAAACAATTTGAAGTTTTAAATACTCCATATATGGTGAAGACTGAAAATGTTTAGCATTTTTTGGCATTTAAGTTATAAAAGGGTTTGATTTCTATGATTACAGCATCCTCTTTATGTTTTTTTTAGTCTTTTTTTTATGTTAACCAATTTAGTTGGTCTTGACTTGCATAGCATTAAACGACATCAGTTGCTTAAGGGAATGGACCCTTTCATTTTTAGTCAATATTGATTTCTGAAAGTGTATGTGTTTAATTAATAAAAATAAATATAGAAAACACAAAATAATGTTTTCAAAGCAACTAGCAAAGAAGTAGAAAAGAACATAGAGAAATTTCTGATTTCTTTATTAAACCATTTCAGTCCAATTAAGCAAATAATTATAAAGACAAGCTGACAAATCTAAATCCAGAAAATCAGAGGGTTTACTTTTGGTTTTTGGTAATGACAACAATAACAGGATTGTGAAGGAAAATGAGAAAATGTTGCAATGAAATTAAATTTTTTCCTACATGGTTCATCTGCAATAGTCACTGACCTATTGAGAAAGACATGAAAAAGGCTATCACCTAAATAACTGTAAAAGGGACCTTTTACTAATATGAAGTTGCAAGCAAAGAAAATGTCCTTTTCTTATCACTGTAAAGAACACAAGTTAAGTCATGAAATGCAAGTTAATTGGCAGATAATGATCAACACAATTCACTGAGTAAATTCCTCTTGTTAGAAGACTAAAGCAAAGACACATACGTGTACATCTGGACTTTTTTATTATAAGGAACTACTGTTGATTCAAATATCAGTTAAAAGCAATCACGATAATCCCTAAGCACACAGAGCTCTCATTTTATTTGTATGCTTTAAAGTGTATGTCATTTTGAATCACCCTGCATTTTATCTCTAACAGGAAAGTGCAATTTGAATCTTTATAACATAGTTTTAGTGGTCACATTAATTCTGATGGAGTATTAGTAGAACACAGGAAATGACTTACACTTCTTTTAAGTTTGCAGACTATTATAATTTGTCTTCTTCACGTGTAATGATATCTAGATTAATGTACTTGATAAAAAGTCTTCAGCCATAGCTGTCAGTCATAGTTCTTGTCAAAGCATCTATTTTCATTTCAACAATGAAAGTATTATATTTCTTTGGAAGCCAAGGAAAACCATGTTATAACAGTGTGGGAATGGTTTCTGGCAGTCTTACAAAAATCAGCTTTCTCTAGACTTGGTTTAAAATTTTAATAGTTATTACAAGAAAAAACAGGTAACCTAACACTGTTAAATTTTAATGTGACATTGTTTGGTCTATAGATAAATAATGTCAGATGAAAACTGCTTAATCTATTTTCATATATCTTCAGCATCTATAGGGTAACATAATTGCTGGCATCTTTAATCCCATTTTTGAACAGCTTTCCAGTTGTTAATGCACAATTTTTGTTAATGTAATGCTCAATATGGACTTTTAATTGAAGGCAAGACAATTACAGAATCACCAAGAAAAACATCAGTTGATCCCTTGGCAATTTCTACTGTGAACAGTTTCCTTCTAGATGCTTTGAAATATCTTGTTAAAGAAGAATTATGTTGGAGCTGTAATGACTTGTTTCCTAGCCTAGAGCCTACATGTTTAGATATGTGTTTTGAATACAATATCTGAACAGTCTTGAAACAGTTGTTCACTGCACATAAATTGTGATATAATACTTTGACTCACTGGAAATATCCATCAGATCTAAACCATCAATATTTTGGTCACAAAAAGGGTCACAAAATCTCAAATAGACAGTCGTAATATCCATAATTAAAACCAATCAGGTACAGTATATGCATCCTCGTAATTATCATAGGTCTACAAGTCATCATTCAATTACAACTTTACTGTATGTATTGCAATTTCAAATAGAAATTGCTGGTTGTGTTTTAATAAAAGGACATTTGAGAGAATAATGATAAATCTTTATTCTGAATATACTGTATTTGCACAAGAATCAACACAACATTTCTAGGATTATAAACACTTTTTTTTCTGTTTAATAACATTATTGTACAAATTTATACAAAATTGATTCAGGCTTGTCAAGTTCCACAAAAGTGTAATGTATTAAAGCACAATCAAGGGAAGTTAAAAGAGTGGCCTGTGTGTTACCTGCGCTTTGCAGTTACGGGGCCCTCTGATTAAACACACATCAAGCAATCTCAAGAAAACAGTCCAGAAAAAGCATGATCCAGACAATCTGCACAAATAGCATTGACAGCATCAAATACACTTCCAATCACATTGCGATATCTGATCCTAAAGTGACAGCTTCTGTTTTTAGCAAGTATTGTAACAAAAACAGCCTCCAATACTCCAATAAAGTTTCATTATCCCCATTCCTATTTGACGGTGCTTATAGTGCACATGACTCTCTTCCAAGCATAGAATTATACATATTAAATTCAAGCTAATTGCAGCATTACCTTCAGCTGTTTCCTCTTTTGGGGAAACAGCTTCACTGCACAGACAATTGTGCTTCTAAAGATGTTGAGACTTGCACAGCTAAAAATCAGAGGCTGTCACTTTCAGGAAAATGGCAGTAGTGCTGTTCGATAATTAAAAACAAAGGCTTCAATATAATATTCACCATATTATACTTTTGCAAGTTGAATACCTAAATAGGAGTATAAATATTATATTCTCATTGTTTGTCACTGATATTAAGCCATGCAGCAAGGAAGCAATGTCACCAAAGTATGCCTGTATGGTGGTCTCATGACCCCTTCTACACTTCCACTTTTATTAGGTTTCTTTGAACAGGTAGTTGAAAATCATATGGCACATCATCTTGAGACTTTATATAATATACAATGGTAAAACTTGGAAATGATGCTGGGTGTTTTTAATATTTTGCAAATGTATGATTTTTCGCCAGTTTGACATTATCTTACAACAAGGGTTCAGGACCTTTTGAGTAAAACAAAATGACAAGAGTCCTGCTTTATGTGTCTTAAGGCTGGAAAATTTAAAGAAAAAGCAGAGATACAGATCTCTGAAATAAAGCCAAGAAAAAAAGCTTTTCCATTGTTGGCCACCCACAGAATTGTACATTAATCTTGACTGTTGCCTGAATTACAGCAGCATTTGTAGGCTTTGGAGAGAATATAGTAGAATTAATCAGCACATTACCAGGATACAGTCATGGGAGAAGAGATTCCACTCTAAGCAAATATGACAATTGATCATTTTCGTTCCGAATTTGGCAAATAATAACAACAACACAATTTAGCTAAAAAACATTAATATTTTGCTACACAATTTCAATCAACAAAAAATAATGTAATGCTTTTTAAGCTCACACCACTGAAGAAACCCGTAGAAAGAAATGAAACCATGAACGACAAGTGTGTCATAAACTAAACAAAAAAGAAGAAAAAGAGTGTCTGCGTTTTGTTGGTGCCAGACACTGTAGATGTTAAAATGAATTGTCTGTACTGTAACTCTGCCTAGTAAAATGTTTAAACTTTAAAAAGTTACCATTGTGGAAATAACTAGCTGGTGTAATGCAATTGTATTCATTAACCACATAGCATTTATCATAAACCAGTGAAAGGTCTTATAACTGCTTTGAATTAATTCTGGTCCATGGCATTTAAAAAAAATAAGAGCTAATTTTCAAAACGAGTTAAAGAAAAAATAACAAAATAACAAATCGTACCAAATGAATATATTTTTGAAGCCAGGAGAACAGCCAATAGTGAAGAATAAAGCAGACAGAGAAACACTGCAGCTTGTAATCACAAAGCATGGGACAAAACTGACAGAACGATAATAATTATGTTACAGCTGATTTTGTAAGTTGTATATGTTGTTTTAAATGATGTGGCTGCTTCCACTGGTTTGTTCAATCAGATACTAGTGTTTGTTTTCAGATTAATTTGATTTAACATCCTGTTAATAGAAGATTTTATATTATAGCTTCTGGCTGATTATTTTTGTTTGGCTTTTAAGGGAAATAGAGCTTCTTTATGAAACCTTGTGTATAAACACAGAAAAAAAAAAGTTAAATATTCAAATGTTAAAAGCAGGTACAATCTGATTGTGTAAAATATTTTCTTTGACCTACTGTGATACACTACAAATGTTCTTTATGCCCTAGAGTAAAGTCAATACAAACAAGCAGAGTCAATGTAAGATTGACTTATACTTAATCCAAATAATGATGTTTCACTAATGGGATCTGTTTGCCAGGCTTTACACAACATTGTTTTTCTTCACTGCAGATAACAGTATATGGGTACTTGCACAAAAGATGGTGAGACCTTAATAAGATGTACTGCACTTTTCCATCCCCTCCAAAAAAATAAACATTTCCACTGCAGCTGTCCTTTGTAAGAACATTTACAATCCAAAACTACTTAAATAAAATTAAACCAAAAAGAAAAATCATGCAAAGTACTATTTTTAGCAAAAACAACAAAAAATGTGCCACATAAAGATTCTTTTCATTCACAAGCTTTAAGCATTATAAAGAGGCTTGGCTAGCTCTCAATATTTAGGTTGCATTGCAAAATTAAAATTAAAATTGTAATTAAATTAAAATGTACCAACAAACTGAATAAATAATGTATTCCCTTTGGCATGATTGAGCAAGACAGGATTATCTTGTCCTTTTAAGGTAGTCACTAACAGTTTATTTTATCTTCTAATTAAGTGACTATGACCAACACAAAAGACAGAGGTTGGTGGAGTAAACACTTCTAATATTTTTACATTTTAAAAGTGTTAAATGTTTACAATAGCCATTATATTAAACAAAATGTATACTGAAAATATTACAAAATCAAAGATCTTGTATTTCTTTAAAACAGAAATTCATATTCAATTACTTTGTAAAAGTGAGAGTAAGCCAACACAGGTGTGAATATAATGCAACTCATTTCTTAAACTGAAAAAATGGTACATGTATTTTTTAAAGAGAATTTTAATGTTTCTGGCCTAATTGCTTATATTACATTTAGATAAGCCATTAGCACCCAAAATGTATATGAACATCACAACCAAGAAAATGTGGCTTCACTCTCAATATTTCTTTTAACATAACTTTACATACATTACTTTTACATTTGTTTTCTGTTCTTACTTTTGAAGCAAGAACTTGTCTGGCATGGTTTTATCCACATACTGTAACAGCTGGACAGTGAGTGGCTAGCCAGTCTACACTCTGAAAATTATACAACCAAGCCAACAAAAATACTGCAAAACAATATCTAGGGGCAGGACTTTGACGTGTTTATGAATTTCATTTGTCTGGCAGTACAATTGTTTGACAAAGAAGCTCACCAAGAAATCACTACATAAAGAAAGTAACCTTTTCCCTTCACCATTCTGATTAAGAAGCAGACGGTCCACACTTCCGCCATTGTGGAAACATTTGGCTTCAGATGGTTTGTTCTTCTTAATGGATTTCAACAAGCTTTCCCAGGCTCAGTTAGGCCAGGCATGTCATAATGTGTCTTTCACTTCCTGGGTCAATTTATTTTTGTTTCCCCCTGTTGCCTTAGAATCTCAGAAACAAAATTTGGCAGGATCTTGAAATGTATGCGTTATGGGGCTCAGTCCTTGTTTCTGAGGTCATAAAGGGTAATGTCTTGATCCAGTTAAAAGCCAAAGTAGCACAAGCTGAATTCCTATCATTGGCCACAGTGATGGACTCAAACCAGAGACCCCACCGCAGTCAGTATAATCCTCCTGTCACGAAGATAGAAGAATAGGTAAGTTAGTAACACATACATGCACATAGGTGAACTATCCCCATCATTTCCTCCTATTTGTAAAATGGATTTCAGTTAAAGTCATTGATGCTGCATTGATTGTAAATAGTTATTACAAAATCAATAGATACCCTAGGGTTAAAGCCTGTTATATGAAGACACTGTTCCAAAATGCCTATTTAGGAAATGTACTGTCTACCTGTATTATATTATATAATACATGGTGTCATAAACCAGCAAACACGTTTGCTGTTTCTCGTGTTCATCCCAAAGCTTACAGGTTCTAAAAGGAACAGGATTCTATAAACTAACTACTGATCATAATGGAAAGAAAAGCATTTTTATCTCATCTTAAAATATTTTCCTGATAGTCTGTTAAAGCACCAAATACATGTAAGGTTTGGGTGTTATTATTTGGTTTACTCTAAACGTGATAGATGACAAATCAGCTGTTCAATGTGCTTTATCATACACATTGATCTCTAACTGCACCAAGTCCATGGGTTTACAAAAACAGTGCCTCTAGTGTTGTCAATGCAGAAATACAGAGAAAATCAAAACAGCACTAAGGCAAAAGCTTAAAACGAAACTGGCAATATCTAAATGACCCAAGTCACCGAACAACAATATCAATACAAAGTATGGGTGTTACCTTTCATGCTCAGCTTGGTTAGATTTGTTAGTGGCTTAAAATGTTGTTGCCTTTGAACAAGCTTAAGACAATTGTTCGACCCCTGAAACGAAAGCTACCTGGAGCCTTAACAAAGATAAAATCTGGATACTTAACTTCCGCTACAATTAGCGAATATGCTCATATGTACAAGTAGCTAGATAACCTGCATAAATAAAAAAGAAAAAACAACTGACCCTTTACACCACATGAACACTTGCAGTAAAATGAAGAGAGGAGTTGACGCCATGGTAGAGGCACGACTTGTAGTGCATATAGGCTCATCCTATTAATAACGGCCATAAGTAGCGAGTAGAAAACGAAGAAAACAAAACACAAGAAGACAGACGGGATGAGAAGTCATGCAAAGATTTGGCTGGCAGTTAGCAGAGTTAATGTGACCCGAGAAAGAAAGAAAGAAGACAGAGCATCCCCCTGGGTAGAATCAGAGTGAGCGTCACGAAAAGGAAAACGTTTCCACCGTTACAGAAACGAACCAAAAGACACTAACATGAGTCAAACCGCTCCAGCAGACACATCGAGCAAGCAAGCATCAGGCTTTCACACAGAAAGGCTTTTTTGGGGGGGAATGCATTTTTGTCGCTTTGATCCAGGATCACTTCCAAATTGGAACAAATTTAAACACCCGTTGTAGCTTAACGACATCGATTTCAAAATTCATGTTCGCATCTGCCCTTCCAAAAAACAAACGCTCCTGAATTTTGGAAAATGTTATTTGCAGACAGTATGCCAAATTTAAATTAACAATTTAGCGTATGTGCAATATGCTATTAACTTTTCTTTAAACTGCACAACTTTTCATAACTTTTACTTGCATGATCTTATGATTGAGTCCTAATGTGTGAAAGCTCAATATATACAAATTTATTTTTAATACAGAAACAATGCAAGAAAAGGCAGCCAGTATTTAAGTTAATAAAAGCACATTAATAAAGTATGGCTCAAAGCATATGTTTTGTGAAAAATACAAAATAGTTTAAATAAGCAAATAAAATGCAGTTGTTTGTAATAATATGGAAGTTCTAAACAATTATTTTGTTGTAATGAATTTAAAAAATAAATTCTGTACTTAACAGGTAAAGGTGTTGACTTTGATAGTGAGCAGTGTAACTTACATTTTCATCATTATCAAAACAGACCTCGGGTCCTTTCCTGTATCTTGGATTGTGAACTAAATCACAGGGATCCGGTCCTTTAGCTGTAGTAACTCAGTTAAGAACTCATATTTCATTCAATGGGATGAAAGGAACAGCAATATCTTATGAATAATAATTATGATCAACAATATATAATAATACATTATCATCTAAACATTATCATGTATTTTATACATTCACATATAATATTTGTTAATGTGAATGTATAAGTAATATACTGTATATAAAGGAACAAGTAAAGGTTTATTCCATGCTGAAAAGAGAGAAAGGAAACAACGTTTTGGCTGTGGAGTCTTTTTCGGGTCTGAGCCTATTTAAACTACTTGATACTGTACAGTACATACTATTTATATAATATGTATACATATTATTTATGATATATTAGTTATCCTATGGTAATATTAACACATTCTGAGTGATTACTCACTCAATCTCCAAATGAACAAAACAAAGAACATTCCGTTTTTTACATAATATTTTAATTTTAAGAACATGAAAAGGGCTACCAATGAAAGGAAGCCCTCAGCTCATCATGCTCATTTGGGACTATTTCTGTACAGTCCCATAACTGGAACTGTTGCTGGTAACACAGCACCCACCCCCACAGATATTAAACCCCATTTAAAATGCACCCTCATATACATACACACCTGAAAAGAATACAGTTTTGAGCAGCCAATTAAACCAAGCCTGCTTGTCTTCAGGAGCTGGTAAAAACTCATGAACGTCGAGGCAACCTGCAAACTACATAGACAGGTACCTCAAAATGGAAACAAACCCAGAAGCTTACAGCTTCTAAAGCTTAAAGCTAGTACTGCACCGCCCCTGAAATAGCTCTCATTAATCTCCCCTTACTGTAAATCTATTATCTAAAATAAATAAAAATAAAAATCAAATCGCTTTCACTGTTATTTGGTCTAGGTTACATATGCAACCCTTTTGTGACACCCCCCCACAAATTTTAAATGTCATTTTTAAAGGATACAGGGCTGTTCTGCTTGTATTAATGGTTTGGTAGAAGAACATGGACAGGTTTCCTTGGCATCAACAATCAGGAATAATAGGTTTGTGTTCGGTAACTTTTCAGCACGGTATATCCTGCAAAAAACAATAGACAAGACTGACACCCAAGTACGTACTTTAGGACACTCAAATAATAAAAAGGGACATAGTGTTTCCCTCCAGCAATGGAGTCAAGGGAGGAGTGAGTCCTTTTGAAGAAGCTACAATGGGTGAGTCTCCACATGTGTTAAGATTAACTTTTGCCCAAGCCAAAAGAAATTTCTGGTCCTATGCTTGTTCAATTTTCCACTGGCTTGGTTCATACAGAAGTACTATAGTCTGCCTGTCACAAAACAGGGAATTCAGGGCTTACAGTACATGCAAGTTTCTATAGGACTCCTGAACTGGTGCTAATCCCCCGTTCCGCCGCTACGCATATGGGTCTTTTACTGGTCTCCTGCCTCTCCACGGTTCGTCCCTTCCAACATCTGTGACAGATTCCGAGTTGTCACAGAACTTCATGGAGTATTATAGACATTCTTTACTCACGTCCCCAAGTTGGCACAGTTACAACACCTCTAGAGTTTTTCTCCCAAGCAATTGAATGGAAATAACCACAGATGAAAACTCTCCCAATACTCAATAAAATACTGTACATATTTTGCACCTGGAGTTGATTGTTCTTATCATATTATACACACAGCAAAAATCAAAATAAATCAAAAGGCATTTTTTTTTTCTTGTCAATAACAGTAACACCACTGTATATCACTGAATACAAAAAATAATGACTGGCACAAACAACAGCAACCTTATTTCAAAGACATGTTTATGCACGGTGCTGTCCTTACTTTTGAGTGCGGGAATGGATTGGTAGGCTAAATTAGATGCAACTAAAATTAATTTTAATTTCCTGTTTACAAATAATTTCAGCACTTTTCTTCAATAATTGTGCATATGATGATATACATGCAATGAACTTGCTTTCATTTGTAGAGGTTCATTAAACACAAGGGTAAAATAATGAATACAGTCTGTTTTGAGGAATTATTTCTGATGTCAGTTTTCACAGGAAATCCAATTTCATATATAAATGAATACATTATGCAACCTTGACCTCTAGATCTCCCTCTAGGTCTCAACATTTGTAATTTGACAAAGTAAGACAATATAACAGAGTAACAAGAAATTATATAAAGCAAAACTAATCACTTAATCACTAAATCACTTAGGGATTACAACCTCAGACCAAGGAAATCTCTAATAGCAGATGAGAAATGATGAGAAATAAATTAGAGCAATTTGTATTTGCTCTGAATCTAGTTTTACTAAATGTATTGCTGACTGCTGCAATCTCATTTTGCAAGTTGATTTTAAACATGGAAGACAATCAAACATGAATAATAACTAAAAGAGTGAGTGAAAAACACTGAAGGAAGGAGAAACCTAAATTCTTTGATGGTTTGCATTCACATTCATTACCTGGTTACTTTCCTATAGCTCTACGTCAAAGGTCCAAAAGTAAAAAACAAATGGCAAGTATTTTGTTTCTACCTTCACTATTAATCAGTAATACGTACTGTATGTCTGCAAGGACATTTCAGAAACAAGAAAGTTCTACAGAATAGTACCATGATATAATATTTTTAATGTATATTTTACAGTAAATAACATGTCCTGCTCTGCCTTTTCTCTGATTTCAGTGAGCATTATTCCAAACACTTTACCCAGGCTCTCACTAAATGGAGTTTTTAATCAGATATTCAAGGAAAGGTCAGATCCTAACCTCACCCACTTCTGCTTTTCTGTGTACTGTATATACTGTATACAGTATCACCTCCTGAACTCACCCTTTTCACCAACCCATTTACACCTGGCTCATGCATATCAAAAAGGGGGTTTGGTCAGCCTCACCATTACAGTTTGGTTGCTGCTTTTCCAGCCAGGCGAATTACACCACATAAAACTTTAAATATTTTTGTCTCTATGGAGTATTGATAAGGATCTCGAAGAACTGCTGAAATATATATCTAAGAATATTGTATATTCTGATATATATTTATACAACTCTGACAGACATACCTAGTGAATACAATGAATTAGACCCTGAGACAACACTTCAAAGAACATTTGTCATTTGTTTATGTCATGCCCTCTGCAGCCAGAGGGCGCTCCTACTCTGTCCTGTCCCTAGTTTCCTGTGCTTTGCTGTGCTTCTATTGTCTCTCTCTCTGGGGCTATATATTTCCGGGTCACTGATTCTCCTTTGCTCAGCATTGACGTTCTGATGTCCTGAGACCCACCTAGCATCCAGGTCAAAACCACGTCCGCTGCATGAGGGCATTGGTTTCTATATGACTCCTGAACTTCTGAGCCCGGGCTAAACCCCTGTTCCTCCACTAAGCATATGGGTCTTTTACTGCTCTCCTGCCTCTCCACGGTTTGTCCCTTCCGACATTTGTGACAGAATGCTGAGCCTCCTACTGACCGTCATGAGAGGCGCTTTTTTTTTCTCTCTCAGCTCTCCTATTCATATCGCAGGATGCTTTTTCTGACTCCTGTGCCTGTGAGCGGGCTGCGGCCTGGCTTTCCTCGGGTTGTCTTTCCGGCATCCGTGATTGAATGTTGAGCTGGCCCTCCTATCCTCATTGCTGGATATCACTCCGGTCATCTGTGAGCGGGCCATGTGCCTGGCTTTCCTCGGGTTGTCCACTCTGATATCAGCAATAGGGTGGTGAGCCTTTTTTCCCCTCCCTTTCTTATTGCTGGATATCACCTTCCTGACATCCGTGCCTGTGAGCTGGCTGCGGCCTGGCTTTCCTCGGGTTGTCTTCTGCCGATATCAGTGTTAGTTTGGTGAGCCTTTTTTGCCCTTCCTCCATTCTTATTGCTGGATATCACTCCGGACATCTGTGCCTGTGAGCGGGCTGCAGCCTGGCTTTGATAGAATGTGAACGTGCCTGTTGCCCAGTCTGCTGTATTTTTTCCGGGTTTTTGTTTTTATTTTTGTTTTTTGCTTGGTGTTTTGATTTTTTCACTTCCTGGTTTCCCCTTCTCTATGGTCCCCCTGTCCTGTGTGTCTTGGAACATTTGGTTCCTATCTGTTTTTTGTGATTCATTTCCCTGGTCTCCCAGGTTTATCTTTGTTGTGGTTTGTGCGTTTTATACTTGTCTTTTTTCTGTTTTAAGTCTCCAGAGCTCTGCCTGACCCCCCCTTCCTCTACAGAATAAAGGTTTATACCCTGGAGGAGGAGGCAGCTCTCAGTCATGGACTACCGGAGGTTTCCTTGCAGTTAAATGAGGTTTTTCCTCCCCCCAGTGCTGTGCAGCTCACTTATTTGTATGGACGTCAGGAGGGAGTACTGTCACGCCCTCTGTAGCCAGATGGCGCTCCTACTCTGTCCTGTCCCTAGTTTCCTGTGATTTGCTGTCCTTCCGGTGTCCAGTGTCTCTCTCTACACATTTCCGGGTCACTGATTCTCCTTCGCTCAGCATTGACGTTCAGATGTCCTGAGACCTGCCTAGCATCCTGGTCACCCCACGTCCGCTGCCTGAGGACATTGGTTTCTATTCGACTCCTGAATTGCTGAGCCCGGGCTAATCGCCCATTCCGCCGCTACGCATATGGGTCTTTTTCTGCTCTCCTGCCTCTTCATAGTTCATCCCTTCTGACATCCGTGACAGTTTACCAAATTATGATATACAGTTAGTGATTTAAGACACAGCAATTAAAAATATCTGTTTTTATTCTTACCTGGAACAGTTTTCACAGTCTAGCACCCCACTGAAAGATTTGTTATTATTGTCAAAGTAATACTGAGTCTGTTCAGTGATACAGCTCTCCTTTGAAAGAGCTGCAGTTTGCTCCTCTTCTGTGTCCGCTGTAAATACATTGAAAATTATCAATAAGGAATATATTGGAATATATATATATAATATTTTGAGATACACTGTATTTTCTTGTCTGATAAGATATCCAAAAGGACATTTCAAGAAAAGAAATCGGCATTGGTTTTTGGAAAACTGTTTAAGAAATTGAAATGTATCAATTAACTAGTGAACATATCAAAATAGCAATTGCTAAATGTCTTCACATTGGAAGGCTTCATAAACCTAGGCTGCTGAATGACAGACACTAACAAGACTTCATGGAGTTGATAACAAAAGACAGACCATTGAAACTTATTGTAGTGTTTTAAAATTCATATCTCATGAATTCAGTCCACTCACCAGCTTCCAGGAAATTTGGAAAAGTAAAGCTAACAAATAGCTGCTGTACTATCGACCTATAAAACAAAGACAGGCAGTCATTTCTACAGTTATATCAGGTTAGAAGGGAAATCAACAACTTAAGAAAATAAAAGCAATTCAACTCAGGAATAATATGAAAGACAATAAGACAACACTGCCCTCCTGAAGTGAGAGTTCTTCGTGAAACTTTAGACTTTGTAATTTAGACTCTCAATTCAAGGGACAAAAATGCAGATATTCTTGAATCTTGACCAGGTTCCTTGCTATAAGATGTGTTTTATATTAATATGCAGCATAATGATATGTGGAAGGTTGTTATGATTGAATGTCCTTGCCATACATAGTAATTTAAAACATTTCAATATCATGTTAAAGCTATATATTATGTTGTACATAATGACCTCCAGCTGATGTCAGTCTTGCTTCGGTAGTAACTGTAGCTTCCTAGTGCTCCCTGTGCTTTATTTTGAAGAAAACATTTATTCTGAAGTGCTTCAAATAGAAAAGGTATTATACATTAGAAAATGAAAACTGCTTAGATGGAAAAAAAACTATAATGAGTTCTTTTAGAGTTGACAAAAGAAATTAATAGTGCAATTTCACTATTAAAATAAAGAGAGTCTGATGTTAAAAATGCATACATAAAAAGAAATCTATTACATCACTTACCAAGCTGCTGCCGAAGCCCACCAGCCTATATTTAATATATCAGCTATTGTTGGCTGAGGACAATAAAGATGACATGTTAAGAAAAACACCTTAATAAAACCATTTGTTCTAAATAGGACTATGTCTTTGTTTCTGTATCCCTCTAGAATATTATCATGTTTCCTTTCCAAAGTAATCTCTACCATGAATATAAAATGAAAGGAAAGGAAAACATTAAATCATAATTCAATGAAAATCGTTTATCCTAAAATATCATCCAATTACTGTGTTGTCAGATTTATTTGTCAGCAATCTAGTAGCCATCAAGCTAAATTTCACAAAAAACAAGATGTTGGGAGAAATCCCAAATTAAAACGAATTTGTGGTGAATTACGAGGCGAGTTGTTTTAGCAATATTTTGCACGCAAGTCTGAAATGCAATGCAATTTCCAGCATCTGCAATTCTGGCTCATGATTCATATGTGGAGTGTAGTCAAGCTGTGATTGATTAACTTACAACAAAAACAGAACGCAAGCCAGCTGCAGCTTTGGGGCCTCTGTCAGGATCACAGACAGACTGGTAGTCATAGGACTTGTTAAAGGCGTACAAAGAAGTGTTCACAAGGTTCGTCATCAAAATGGGATCGATCTCTCCAAAGAACCACCCAATCTACACAGGTTAAATAAGGTACAAATTAGAACATCACTTGTGCTGTATGAACAAACAATCTCATGACAAAGCTGAAAAAACACTAGAATGACATGGAATCAGCTAAAACAAGACAGAACATAGAGCAAATGACTTTAAGAAGCTACACGTTCATACTCTAGTCTTCTAACTATTCAGTGGGAGCACCAGTTCACAGGTCTTTTCAGACTTTTGCCAAGGTTGTAAACAACACATTGCATTGTGTTGCACAGCTGGTGTAATTAGATCTACCATTTTAACTCCATGCATTTAGTAATTCTTTTAAATGTGCTAAAAGCTAATAAACATATTGATTCAAAACATGTGCTAAAATGCTAAAACTGATCAAGACAAAAACATGAAATTAGTTTTAAACTCTCCAAACAAAACCTGTTTTTTAACATCAGGGTACCAGATTGGAGGTCAGTAACATCTGACTCTAATTAGGAGAAGAAAAGGAAAATAAAATCAAAGCTGTTACTATTTCATCTTTTATTACGATAATGACACAAATATTTTTTTGAATGTGTATTGAACGTGAATGTCCTTTAAATTGTCACAAACTATTTTCAGGAATTTGGGTTGAAGACATCTGCCAAATTAATGTCAATATAGTATATGCTTGAAAAAGTGATAGTTTCGACTTGACTTGACAAACAGGATTTCCAATAATTATAGGTGGTAGTACTCTTTGTCTCTCACTCTGCCTCAATGAGCCCCACAGTGGTGTGTGGTTCTTCAGATTGTGCTTGGTCTGGAGCCTTGCTGGAGGCCAAATATCATGAGTGCTCAAAATAAGCACTAGCTTTGGCAATGCTAGTCAAGATGTTCAAACCTCTTAGGGAATCATAGTTTTGGATGGGTTGGCCCCATCAAATCTCTCTTTGAGCCGGAACCCAAGCTACTGTGGGTGGCTCAGGCTACCATGGTATTGTCATCAGGGAATATCTGCACTTGATGTCTTGGTTAGAGGCCTCTCAAGGGGCTCCTATCCTAAACCTCACAAGCTAACTGTATGGAAACCTCTCTCTTCAAGCTAGTAATATCTGTGGTCCGATCTCTGGACACTCTCCACCACGCCTGGCCCTTCTATCCATTTTGGTTCATGTTTTCATATGAACCAGCCCTTTTGGCCCAACACTCTTCTGCCACTACTCTGAGGGGCAGTCTCAAGTGCACTTGATGTGCCCCCTGAAACTAATCCGTGCTGCACATTGTATTTTAGGACACTGGTCCACTTGTTTGTGTCCTTTGGAATACTGAGCATGCACAGCCTTGCAAGTTAGATGATGACTAAAATTGCTTTACAACTGAAGAAGGCTCCATGGCCGAAACGTTGTGTTTTCTTTCCGTGTTCTCTTTTCAGCATGGAATAAACCTATTACTTGTTCCTTTGCTGACTACAATTTGTTTGTCTTGTAGGGAGTCTGGATTTCAAAGGAGCCTTGGTCCAGGACCTGGGTTGGGTGGCAATGTCGGCTTCCTGTAGCACATTCATTTGTTGCTCCCTCGATCAATTAGTTCATTTTACATGCAGTGTGCAGGATGACTGCTGCCTGATCCAGTCAGGACCTTCAGTGCCATAACTTGGTTGGGTATATCACATACCCAAGAGGTCATGTTAACCCTATTTTTCTGAAAAGACAGACTGTACAGTCAATATCCTTATATGTCTCTTCTCACATGACATGTTGTATTTGTGGTGATATTTTAGGATTTACCTCATCAATGTACTCGTCCTGATTGGACATCAAGAGAAATCCACCATCATCAAGGATCACACAATCGACAAGCTACGATTAAGAAAAATGATAAAATCAGGTCGAAGTGAACATATGGTTTAAAATAAATTGCTTAGAAAACATATAGGGATGTAGGGAAACATACCTTAGAATTCTTTTCACAGCCACATATCTCGCTATTGCACTGAAAGCAAGAATTGACATTACTTACTTTAAAAATTACTTTTTCACATCCTAAAATAATTATTTGTGCAACTGTGCTAAAATACAAATTCTATATATAAATATTTACATATATTTATTCTGATAGGAAAAAATATTTACTTTTATTAGGCTCTCCACATTTACAATACGCTTACAGAAGGACAAAAGTGTAAATAAAACCCATCATTAATTATCTCCACAGATTTTTATTCTTTAGCAAATACTCCCTACAGGGTAAGTTTAAGAAGGTCTTGCTTAAGTTCAGGTCAAAAATACTGTATATGACACCATATTTTTCATGTAGTAGACGTCTAGGTAACTACCTAATATAGATAAATATGCTAGGCGACTGTTTTTATACATATATTATAGAGATCACTAGATGGCACAAAAATGAAAATGAACATGCATAAGAGTAGGGAAAAACCAACTTAATATATTATATTATTAAAAGAAATCATCTTTCTTCTTACTCAAGCAACAGCAGTAGATTGGTCCTCTAAAATATTAATCCTGCAGATTCTACTCAGAGTTGTCAACTATCCACAAATGTGTAATAAATATAAATAAAAGTATAATAAACAGCCCAATTTTAACATTTTTGTACTCCATCCATCTATTTCCTAACTGATCCTTCCAATTCAAGATCGCAAGTCAGAACCTATCCCAGAAAGCAAAGGGTGCCACATGGGATACATCTTGGATGGGATGCCAGTTCATCACAGGGCGAACACAGACACAGACAAACTCACACCCAGGCCAATTTTCTCAGAAGCCAACTAACCTACCAGTACAGTATGTTTTTGGACTACTGGAGAAAATCCACATGGACATGGGGAGAACATACAAACTCTACACAAATAGCACCCCTGAACCCAGGGCCCCAACAGTGTGAAGCTGTAGCCCACAAATTAAATGTGGAAAAACATGTGAAAGTTGATTAAAGTAAAGGTATACGCCTTATAGTTTAGAGCTAATATAAACCCTTAGCAGAGCAATTTGGATGTGACATGGTATGACTGCTGCATTCAGTAAGTAGAGTGGGACAGGTGAATTGCTGTTTATGTCTGCAGTTTATGTCTAGAAAAATACACGTTCAGAGATTATTATCAAGCCAGGACTCGTAACATTACCATGGTGAATGCTGTAATATTATATTATGAAAATAAAGCTAATTGAATGAGAATTTACAATTTTTTCTTTCTTTGTTCTATTTGGGATCATCTAACAGTCTCTGCATATGCTTGATACAAATCTGAGTGTTATCGGTCACCCTGATGATGACTAACCCCTATATTATAATGACTCATGGGAAACAGTTGTTGATTCAATGATTCATTTTAAGGTCACACAGACTCACTGCTTGTGCACAGCATTGTCATGACATCAATATGTGTCATCTTAACAGTACAGGTATCTGAATCCTGATTGGTTAAAAAGCTCACACATACTCGTCTTTACTTTGCACATATTGTTTTTATTCCTGGGATGTGTATGACCCCTCCAGCGTCCACCTACAAGTCTGAGACATTCCCTCACTGGGCACAATTGCAAGAGAAATAAAGCAGGAGTTGGCTTCCTTATTTAAAAAAAAACTTGATTCTTATCTCACAAATTGCCTTTTAATCTTGTTTTCACATTCTATGGTCCATATAAATTAAAAGAAATTGCACCATGCTGTTAATGTTATCAGAACTTTAATTTTATGGTACCACAAACGTCTTGTGCCATTTTATTCCAAGTCTGAGTTTCTAGGTCCTCACTAGTTTCAATAAGAGACAGGTCCATCTTGTAACTCCATGGCAGAGGGATCTGCTTATTGAAAGCAAACACCGCATTTTTAACCCAAGATTTCCTTTTTTTCCTACCCCAACCCCCTAAAACTCTGACCCCTGACCCCTCTGATTTTACTTTTGGGAGATGTTCAAATGAGGAAGGAAGCAAGTTTGTTTTAATGACTGATCTCCGTTTAAAAAAAAAAAGACTGTCTATAAAAATAAGAAGCTTGCCATCAGTACAGAAATCCTGAGATTGACAACCCTACTATAATGGTAACAAGCCACTGTTATTACTTTCTATGTGATTATGTGTGGAAAAACTAAATTGTATTCTTACTCCTTTCCTGATTGTTGCATTTGTGAAGTTTGCCATCCATTCTGCGATACTAATCTTTACGCCGACAACTGTAAGAGATCAAGAAATGTTCATTTAATGAAACACATTCAAAAAGTAAATTATTTGATCACAAAATAAATTATTTGATATGTCTCAGTACTTTTTTCTTCACAAACTGACACCTTATTTGTGGTAAGTTAAAAACCAATACATCATCAAATATTATTTTAGTCTTACAGCAATTACTTAATTTTTATGAGTACCTAATGAAAACCATAAAACTATTACTAAGGTCTCAATTGTATAATACACTAGTAATGCCTTATTTAGAATACTGTATACAGTTACCATGTTATAGGAAATATATTGCTGCTCTGGAATCTGTCCAGAGAAGAGCAATTAGATAAATTTTGTCTTAAAATAATGTTCTACACTGAGAAGGGTATCCGATACTGTACAAGTATTCATAATCCTTAATCCTTGACAAAGTTAACCGAGTGAATATCTACATAACAAACAGTGAAACAGTAACGAGAGAACAAGAGTGGATACTATATGGAAGTTCCTTTAAAGCAAAGAACAGGAGACTAAAGGGGTTGAATGGCCTGCTCTCGTTCATAGCCATTCTTATGTTATTTTCTGATCTTTATTGGTCTGATCTTTATTGGTCAGAAAGCTTTTAGGTCATATCTCTCCCACAGTTCAGCTCTTCTTATTTTCTAAGGCAGGCTATATAGTGCAGACATCTCAGTTTTTAAATACTATATATTTTTTAATTGGACCTTTTTTCTAGTTCAAGAGCAAAATTTTAACTGAATACACAGAAACAGTTGTAGTCAGTTTATACACTTCTCTCTTCAGAAATCTTTATAAGAGCAGTGAATAAAACAGTGTGCAATCCAAGTTACAGTGCTACAAAAATCAATATAAATTGATATTTATCAGGTTCTAAGGTACATTTACCACAAGTCCAGTGAAAAACAAAAAAGGTTCTTAAAAACAATATTTGTTTTTCCCATCTCCTCATATTATTAAAATTATCTGCTTTGTGGCTATTGCTCAATTTTACTTTTAAAAATAATCCTGTGATCTTGCTTTTCATTTTCTTAATCTAGACTATGCAGCTGACAAATTACAAATTCACTATACTGTAATATGCACATGAAATTAAAATTACAATTATTATTGTCATGGGTTTTTGCTTTTTTCACAAGTCACTTATCTGAAGGCAATGTGAATGCAATCTAATCTAACACAAACATATAATATGAAAAATAATGTTATATATTCTGCTCTGCCATTAAAGCTCTGCTTGGTCATACCTGCTGGTTTCATCTTTTTGCCATCAATGGTCAAATCAACTGCTCTGCTCACCAAGATGCCAGAATCAAAGCCACTCTCCCCGCTTCCTGAGTCAGGAAAAAATAAAAGCCAAATTCATGTTAAAACCTGCTGATTCCACAATTATGTCTAGCACTTGTTTAAAACCTGTTTTCAAACCTTTTCAATTGCAGGTCATATCAGGTCAGTAGTAGAATTATTCTGTCTCACCCGTGCAAACATCCCAATTTGATACTGTATATGTTTTTTTTCTTTACAAATACAACCCAAAGGTTTAGAGCTCTGTAGGGTATTTGGACATTTCTATAGGAACCTACAGGCTATTTTTTAATGATTGTTAAACTCATGATAACCTTTGAAAGTAAGTTGACCTTTTCTATTTACTCCAGCACATTACATGTCACACCAAATCCAGCACTGATTATTGTGACAAGAGGTCTTAAATACACAAGTAAGCTCCATCATATTATTGTTTTTAATTTTCTGTCTCTCTTGTCTGGTAAATGTCAAAAAAAGATTTAAGCAACTACTGTTCCAGAAGTACCATTTGTACCATTTGTACCATTTTTGCCTATTGAAAAGGACTTGATAATGTTAATAGTAAAACCACCAGAAAAATAATACAGAGAAACCATTGAACTGTTGCAGAAGACACACTACAGCAGAGATAAAGAGATAACGATCTGAAGCTTACTGTTGAAATAAGGTGCTGTAAAGATATAGAAATCATTATCCAAGCTTCTTTTGTAGAAGCTAGCCTCATAAGTTTCAGCACTTTCTTTCCAATCTTCCCCAGCACTAAAATGAAAGAAGGGAAAACCTATTTTTAGTAGGGAATCTCAGATTGTAACTTGCTTAATTAATTAACTAACATTTCAATGTTTTAATTAATATATAAAGATTTTTTATAATTCACAATAATTCATGTGTGGCCCTGTGGCTAAGGATCTGCGCCTGTGACTGGAAGGTTGCCGGTTCAAATCCCGCGGCTGGCAGAGGAATCCTACTCCGTTGGGCCCCTGAGCAAGGCCCTTAACCCTAACTGCTCTAGGCTCTAGGGCGCCGTACAATGGCAGACCCTGTGCTCTGACCCCTTCTCCGTGTCTGTGTCTCCATGGAGAAAAGCTGGGGTATGCGAAAAGACGAATTCCTAATGCAAGAAATTGTATAGAGCTAATAAAGAAACATTATTCTGGGTAACTAATTTATTAATTCTCGTTCCCTCGGTCCCATGAGGGCTCATCCCAGTTGCGAGGCAGCGTCTCAGAGTGACTCTCAGCGAGTCAGAGGACTTCTTTCGCTTCCTTCTCACGTAACTTTCTCTTCATTCTCAATCCCTCGAGCAGCGCCTCTTAAAGTCATTCCTCCAGTCAGGGGTCCTTTCTCCCTTGAGGGATTAGTTCCCAGTCGTGAGGCAGTGCCTCTCGTGCGACTCTCAGTGAATCAAGGGGCTATCTCCTCCTTTCTATCCCCTGAGGGCAGCGCCTGGTCATGAGGCAGTGCCCATCAAAGAGACCCTCAAGGAGTCAGGGGAGTCTTCCTCTCCCTTCCCTACCCCTGAGGGCCTAGCTCCCAGTCGTGAGGCAGTGCCTATCTAGCGACTCTCAGCGAGTCAGGGGTGTTCATGTTTTCACACCCCGGAGACTGCCGAGTCAGCCAACCCAATCGGTCACTTGGGTTCCCCGTGCGTTACTTTTCTCTACTTTACTAACCCCTGCTTCTCCCCTTCAAATATATAATAGATTAAAAATAATTATGGATTTTTTTTCTTGATATCAGGGTAAAGGAAAAGCTATTAATGTATAACTAACCAGCAACAAATTAAAATAACATAATTTGCTACTTTTTCATTCATTATTTTCCTTTATAATATACAGGGTACAAGCATGCTCTACTACAAGTGCTCAGAAGTGGAAAAAAACGTTCTAACCAGACAGTAGTTAAAAGTCTCTATAAGGCATATTGTGCATGTCATATTACATATACAACACAAAATCTCATATTAAATTTCTCAGTGTGAATTTCCTGTGTCATGATTGTTGTGTATACCATGCCATATTTTTCCAATAATGGGGGTTTATCTGAAATATCCAAACCCCAGCCATTCTTACAAATTGTTTATGATGGGCCCGATGAACTGCAGCTCTGCATTTTATATTTACAAATTCTAAAAGCATTATAAATAGCAACATTTCATTTGAGTGTGAATGTGTGTTTAAATAAGAGGTCCTTACTGATCCATTATATTGGATTCTGAAAATAAACTACAAACACTGTGACGTTCTTGAATATCTGAGTCTAATTCTAATGAGACTACTTTTGTAGAGATGAAATCTCTGCCAATTATATAAACGTAATTTATAATACGTTTCTTCAAAAGTGCCACCATTCAGAGCAGAACACTAATTTTGGCTGTCTGTATAATAACATATAAAAATACTAAGACAGAGTAGAACAGAATCCTGAAGTAAGTGACTTTCCTCAGGCACGGGCAAATTTAACCACATGCTACAAGTGATTTGAATTGAGTTTTTCGCCCCTAGTATGTAGCATGATATTCAACATATTGTGGACTATCCTAACATACAGGAAGGAAAAGCTTTTAATTCTTAATATGACATCACTACATTTTGAAAATAAAAATAAATACTGAGGTACAGCATACCTTTTGGGGTACACTCTTGTGATCCCTCCATCCGTAGCAACAAACCTGGCAACGACTCCAGTTCTATTTTTTCAAAAGAATGCAAACCACAATGAGGGAACTCCATTTATCTCTGATGGTTTAGGCTAAATAATACTAAAACGTAAAGACTTATCCATTTAGCCTTTCTAAAGTCAACTTTCCAAATCCCATGAAGTAGAGGCGCCATAAGTGGCTGATGGTTTTCGTTGAATTAATTTCCCTGAAGATTAGTCTCAATGCACATATAGATTTTAGAAAGTTAAATATAAAACACATTGTTTTCATTAATGTTGCTCATTATCTCAAGCATTTTACATGACTCAGGAACTAAATCGGTGCGATGGTTTGTTTTTTTTTCTGTGACAAATTACTGGTGCAGAGGTTAATTTGTTAAAACAATTCTTTCACAATGAAGCATCATTCAGCACAGAGCAGAACCTGGAGAAGAACTGAAAATTAATTAACTAAATTCAGTCTTGAGAATAGGTGCAAGTTCTCTATAGTGTGAGGTGCTAGCATATGCAGCAATATTTTCCTTTTATTATCCAGTTTCTTATAATATTAGAAGTTATGACCTGTCTCTACACTATGAATACATTCTATGATCCAAAAAACAACACCCAAAGTCAAGACATCTTTTTGCATTGTACATTTAAAGATTATATCAATCAGGAAATAAAAATGGAAGACAATCTAATACCTAGTACAGGTCTTAAAAACATAAATTTCTTACAGAGATTGTTTTTTCCAGTGCTGGACAAGCTCAGATGTAATTCCAGCATCTAGGAGGAGCCTATTGACCAGCATAGCATTGCCTAAAAGAACAAAAATATGTCAGTTAGCATTTTGTTCAATATATGAATACCAAACAAATGCTATGGATGAAACTAATACATCAGCAACAACATCTAAGAGAATAAATGGGTCATTTTCATTACTTCTTTTAAAACTGTTCAGCTCATCTTCTTTCTGATACTTGCCACCCTTTGTGACTAATCAATACGTTTTTTTTTTGTTGAAACAACAGCCATATTGAAATGGTCAATATTGGGAAGGAAAAACATTTTGAAGTGAAATATGCATATTTAAATACACAGGCAGTGTTTTTAGAAAATGGCTTGCAAAACGCAGTACTTTTGCGCACTTCTGTTGCACTGTGTATACAGTAGCTTTAATTTGGAAACACAATTCAGACTAAGAAGGTAAATATTAGTGTTTACTATCCACTACAATGATTAACATGTAACTAGATGTTCAGGATTTTTAAATTAACAGGCTCTACAGCCTCTAATAGTCACCATTTTCCAGTATGTGCAGATATACTGTACAGTACTAATGATATACAGTACACCACTGGACCACAAAGCAATGAAGATGTTATACCTCTTCAGCTCTCTTCTTCACAATGACAGCATCACATATTTCTAAACAACCTTGAGCATAAAGGCAGGAGTGAGAATGAGTGGTTAGAGTGTCCCGTACTGGGATAGAGTATAAGATATGCAAAAGGTGATATGATCAACAGTAGACCTTGCCTTGTAGACAGCTACCATCCATTGTGATGTACAGTATATAGATCTAGGAACCGAAAAGTCATATTGTGGAATACGCCACTTGCATTCCAAAGGATTCTCCATCCTGCACTTTGTATCCCAAAGGAATTTGGATAGAAATTCTGACATATCAGAACTAATATGACATTTCAGTCCTCAATGCAGTTATGATTTCCTGGAGATTTCAAGACTGCTGCTAGATCTATGGTATTGTATTAGTTTGGTTTTGAGGCAGCTGTTTACAGAAAAGAGTCCCTCCATCCATTTTCAATTCAGGGTTGCAGGGGAGCCAGAGCTGATTCTAGCAAGCAATGGGCACAAGGCAGGATACACCCTGGATGGGACGCCAGTCCATCCCTTGGCAGACACACAGACTCAGATACACACACACACTCACACCAGGGCCACTTTCTTCAGAAGCCAATTAACCTATCAATATGCTTTTGGACTGTGGGAGGAAAATCCATGCATACACAGGGAGAACATAAAGACTCCACGCAGATAGTACCCCAGGTCCGGGATTGAACTGACTGTGCCACCCTAGTTAAGACTGACTCTAGACAATCTGACCCAAGAGAACGTCAGGTACAGTACTGCAGTTTGGTGAAGATGGAGAGCAAAGGCAGTGAGGAGTTTTGGAGCACAGAAAGTGTTGAAAAGAGCACCACAGCTCAGAGAAAACATGGAGACACTGTCTAATTTAAAGATTGTGATACAAGGGAGACCCAAACTACCTGCAATGTGATAGGGATTGAAAGTTAATTGCAGACAATATTAGGGAAAATGAGAGAAATAAAATAACAATAAAGTGGTATCATTACGAGTCCTGAAAAAATTAAAATGACCTTGGTGATCAAAACACGTGTTTTAGATTTAACTCTTGGGTTATATAAAACGCAAAGCTTTAAGCTTTTTATCATAAAAAATCAGTTTTATAAGTACTCCCCCAACGCTCTTCTATGACTTCATTAAAAAAAAAATTTAACACACTCTCAGACGCACCTGTCATAACACTTATTACATGTTCTTTTCTCCTTCAAATGCTTTAAATTAAAATTGATTATAAACAGAACCTATGAATTTTAATGTAATTTTTTTTTATCTGCTTCACTGAACCTAAGCAAATAAATCTGTCACTGGACACTCTGAATGCCAGAAATAATTAAGTTTGATGTATAGTATGAGCTGCAGAAGCAATGAATACACCTAACAAAGAATCTATCCAAATTTTAGCCAATCTGTTAGATACTTATTTATCTTTTTACAGTAACCTACTACTTGCTGCAGTGTCTCTTGATACTTGGAAAGAACCCGAACACCTTTTGAATCCAAACTTGAACAGACCACTGTCTTATACAGAAATCCTAAACACTGGTGTGTCAGATAATATACTGAAAAAATTATCATGACTGGGAATCACAAACATTGTCAAAAAAAACACTCATAACATGAAATTCTATGTTTAAAGTATAGTTATTGTGCCAACAGATCAAATTTCAAAGTACTACTTTTGTTATTTTTTTAACTTGTCCTGTTTTTCTTCACAAACACTGTGTAATTGGACGACCATTAAGTGCTGGTGAAACACCAGTGCAGTTCATACATATATTACAGATGTAAACCTATATAGCATGTGTGCAGCCATCTGTTCATTAACATAATTTTGGTGTGAAACTCAATCTGTGATGTGTAAAACCTTTAGAAACCAGGCATACACAGACACACTATAGAAACCCAAATCTCAGATGAGTGCTGGTTTTGAAGGGTGACAGAATGTTCCAGGGGAGTTCAAACCTACTTTAACTTTTATTATTACCTTTGATACTTACATGTTGGGTTATTTGGTGTTTTCCTGTCTATAAATTCATTGAAGTCCATAAGAAATTGGGTCCTGTTTTCAGACGGCTTCAGGTCTTTGCAGTACTCTCTGCAGATAATAAATGTTTACAAAGACTAATTAAATTTCACTCAATTTTTTTGTATTTTTTTTTGTATTTATGCAATACTACAAAATATTAAGTAAAACCTGTATAAAACCATAGGCTGTGAGCAATTATCTATACCATATGTACAGGTATCTACTGTATAAGTCCAAAACACTGACTGATACGTAAAATGGGACCACTAGTTTCAGTCAGATATTTCGAGTTTTTTCACCTTTTAACTTACATTTTTATGTTAAGTAGTTAATATACTAGAGTACATTACACTGCCTAGTGGTTGGAAGCAGAACAACTTGAGGTAGTTTAAAAGCTATATATTTTTTACAAAGTTTCTGTAAATGCTTTGTGACAGTAGTACAGCCATTATCATAATTACTAGGCATGCCACAGAAATTTCAGTTGCATGCTGGGTTAATTTAGAATTTTCAACAGACATGATCTGGAGACTAAGACAATAAATCTAATCCACTGACATAAAATCTGTGGTCTCAAGCAGTTTCTAAGTGGGCATGAGTCCAACTCACCAATGGACAATAGGAAATGTGGGGCGCAACTGGATAGTGTATTAGAATGAGGATATAAATACTGTTAGGAACTCATCATACCACAGGGAAGAAATACAGAGTTCAAAAATTACACGGTAACTGCAAATAAATGTATGCTTTGTTAACTGAAGATTATCCACCCATTTTCAGTAATTGCTTAGACAGCTGCAGTGAGCCAGAGCCGTACCCGGAAGGCATTGGTGCAAGGCTCAATAAGATGGATTAATAACCTTTTAAATATCTTCAATTGGTACTATCAGACAAACATTTAAAGAATATTCTCCGGTGTGTTCTCCTGTTCTCAGTTTTAAAAGCACTTACACATCTTGTCCACTCTGAAGAAGTCTAAGTCCAAAAGTCTTTTGTAAAAATCAAAGACTGTTTTTGTCATAGTATTCAAAGTTGAAAACCTCAGTTGGTGCCTCATGGATGTTTTAATGGAAGCTGCAGTGGTTTCAACATACTGTATTAAATACTGTATGTAAGCACAAGCATCATTCCTTCTTTCTAGCTCAGCAGGCAGTTTTGAAAGCACCAGTTTTCAAGATTGGTACTGTGGCATTACAGAGCACATACAATAATTAGTTTTATCCAGTATTAAATGTCTAATATATTGGGAAACCTATTTCATTCCCGGGTGGAAAAAATTAAGCTAATTCAAAGTAGAAGTAAATGTACTCACCTAGGCGCTATGAGTGTGTAGCCATTTTCATTAAAGTTTTCTAGCTGCATGCTTTCAGAGACTGTAAGAGGAAAGATATGTATTAAAATTCTCATTTGTAACTTGTTGCAAAAAATCATGACAATCCCTCTTTACAGGATCTCTAAGGTTACAATATAAACCTCGGAAATACTATGTTACTATGTCATCCACATCAAATTGGTTAGTAATAACAAATGAGATAGTTCAGCCATGAATAAATAAGAAATCCTAATGTGTGGAACAGAAACATTTATAACAGTATATACAGTATGTATTTACCCAGTTCTTACATTTTGAATCCCCTTACAATAGTGCCAAGCAATGTTCATCACCAAAACCTCAATTGCCATAAGGAGAGGTATTGCAAAACTCTGGTAAAAGATGTTGTGCAACTTGGTTTTCTTTTATGGTTGAAATAATTATGTGCAAAGGCACAGTTTTTTTCAATGTCTTATTTTTACTAATAAACAACATTAACTGTTCTATTGTTAACTTTTGTCAACTAAAATTGTTTTCAGCCCTGTCAAAAAAAATATTAAAATGTTGCTCAAGGTTTTTGTTTCACTGTAACCACTGACATACTGTACTGTATATTTATAAATAAGTCAACAGGTAAACATTTTTGGGGTTTCTTGTCATATTATTCAGTTTTTTCATTGTGGATAGCCTTTATAATTAAATAGGGACCTATTTTCCTGATGTTTTAGATATTTCAGTCATTATTCAGTTTAAAAATAAAATTGAATTGCCTTTTGTATTCATGAAGCTAATTTTTTGTGCATCTTCGAACTGTACAGTTCTTTCAAATCTCACTCTGTTGGTTATGATGCATATTTGTAAGAGATAAATATTACATTCAATGGTTACAGAGTGTATGATGAGTGCAGTACTCACATGTACTGAAATGCAATGTAATTTCCTTTCATAAGCTAGCAAAGCTGACTAAGCTTTCTTGTAATATGCAAAGCGTGATGCTGAAGTGATGATACATGCTAGGGCTATCTTGCTGGATTGCAGAGCTTAAAACTTTCAAATACTTTCCAGTTTCCACATGCAGCCTACATCATTTTAGACCTGTACCAACTCAAGAAAAGCAAGTCGGGTGAAAGATTGCACCACCAGACACACCAAAATAAATCAGATGATGCACATTGAAAACACAGATATTACTGGATTAGAACAAAAGCCTAGAACTGGTATGAACAAAAGGTTAGATGTTACAGGAAAGGACAGCATTAGACATGCAAGGAACAGAAGAACTGGTACAACCACATGAGGAAAACAACCAGCTTGAGAATACTTGCCCCTTGGCCCTGTGAAAATCCAGTAGAGAGAGAGAATAAGGAGGGAAACAGAAAACAGGGTAAAACTACAGGGGTTACAGCAAACAATATTTTATTCAATGAGCATCTCTTGAATAAAAATATTGCAATCTGATCAAGAGGTGTTCTTTAGATGGTAAAGATAGTAAGCTAAAGAAAGCAGGTGTCTGCAGAAATCTAAGGTTTTCTTAGTAGCTTCTGTGGGGCTGTGGTATTTACATATTGCCAGATATGATGTCTTCTTTCATGAAAAAGATGTTAAATACATCCTTTTACTGAAAGAGATATGGGCTGCCCCTACCAGAGTCTTAAAATTATTCCCTTCAGTGCAGTGCACTGAAACTGTCCTGCATGTTGTCAAGTCTTTAAGTAATTAGATGCAAGGTTTGTTGCATATTAAAAAAAAATCTTCCTTAAAAAGTAAGTTTTTGAAAGCAAAATCCAGAGACAATGATATACTGTAGCATACAATTCCTAAGAACCTATATAAAGTACCATAGTTGTGATCTCATATTACAACCTGAGTATGGTTTTTGAATATATTCGAACAGTTCATTGAATTTTTTTCTGTTATCTACTACTGCATTTTATTGTATTGATCAGTGCTCTCAGCATAGTTTTGTAAGTTTGCTGAATTCAGAACTTTGTCATGTACTCTAGTTACTAAATTCAAGTTACTCTGACAAATGCCTTTCCAAAGACAAAATGTAGATGAACTGTATTTTGTCAGTTTGTTTGAATTCAGAATGCAGATAACTAATATAACCTACTAAAAACACAGATGGAAAGATGGGGCAAAAAAATATTTTTCTTTAGAGAATTGATAGTGGTTTCATATACTTTGCATAATTTAATCAGGGTTTCAAGGATTCAAAATGAGTGCAGAAAATAAGGATGACAAGGGGAGAGCTAGTGAAGGCTCAGTTTTGAGAAGGAAATATGACGTTCTTATTAAATGTTTTAAAAGTCTTATAGTCACGCTACCCCTCAATCCATCCATTATTAGAAAATTAACTAATCCTGGAAAGGATCACATCAACCTGGCATTCTCCTAAAGGCACAGTGCATGGTGGACCTGAAACCCTAGACTGTACTGTATACTGGTACGCTGCAGGGCAGGTAGACACTTGCAGCAGGACAGTTTACCAACACTGATCACCCTAGCTTGCATGCCTTTGGAAAATGGGCGAGAAGCACAAGAACCAGGCGTGAATCTCACAGTCCCAGTCCAGAATCAAACCCTGGATTCACGAGCTGAGGGGCAGCTGCGCTGGCTGTCAGGCCACCCCTTCCATCATATAAAGGAAATAAAGATCATAATAAACACATTACCTATTATATAAAGAAATATAATTGCAAACAGCTTAATTTAAAATATATATATTGCACTGCAATTCTATTACCAGTATTTAAGATAAGGATTAAGTTTTCCATGTTTTTTTAAACTCTTTAGGGACATGACTCATCTAACAAGGGAAGTATTTTCTATGCAGTACCTTTACAATAGGATACAGTCCATTCCATTAAAAGACATGATTCAGGATTACTAACTACAATAATAATAATAATTTAAAACAAGTTTTATCAATACAATTACAGATAAAGTCAATCTCAAGTACAAAATCAATTCGGGATCATATGCATTTAGAATGTATATTGTAGAACAGTATTTTCTTTATTTTAAAACAATTATTTTTGTTATATCAATGCTTTATTCTCTTATATATAAAACCAATTTTGATATTTAAACTTAAATTCTTAAACTTTTGTTGGTCAGTTTTACCAGTTACACAGTTTTTTGGACTGTTAGTTTGGTAGCTAGAAACTCCAACTTTAAGGATGACAAAATGGCATATTGATTAAAATTGGCATACTGATTGAAGAAGCATTCTGACTGAGAGAAACTGGATGGTATGAGGAGTAGACTCATGATGGCAACAATAAAGCGAAAACAGCGATAATACAAGTTGATTTTCTATATACATTTGGTACCACAAAACATTTTGATTTTTAGACCCTGAAACTCTACAGAGAGAATCAGACACATAGCTGGGGTCCTGTGACACACCCATCTTTAAAGTCCTTAATAACCTGCCACTTTGTAAGAATTACTGCTGACTGGAGGAGTGGCGTGTCTCTCAATGGCATTGATTGCTGACGAACCACAGGAGTCACTGTGTGCCGGAAATCCGAAAGAGCACTGGCTGACTAAGCCCAAGCCTACACTGCGGGTGCTCAGTCAGTTTTGTGTTTCTCCTTAGGGAATTCCAGGCACCATTTGTTAGCAACATGGCCCAGACTCACAATGGCAACATCAATGCTACCAGTCTCAATTTGTACTTTAAAAGAGCACTTTTACCCTTTGAGCCTGATCCTGTATGTGACACAATTCCCACAGATAGGTAAAAACCCTGATATATTTCAAGTGGGTCTGGTGCTCATTTGGACTAATTGGCTTTGAGCCATTCACATTAGAGGTAACCTCTTATCCAATTGAATACAATATGTCCCACACCAGGTTAAAACAATGACAATTCAGACTCTACTCTTGACAAAAAGTAACTTGTAAATCAATACCAACTGTCATGGAAAATGTTTATAATGCATGAATGACAAAGAATATTGCAATAATAAGATAAATGATAGGTATGTAATATTTTATTGGGGGGTAGCTATAAGACCTTTAAACACAATGCTTACTACAAGTCCAATTTTGAAAAATACAGGAGAAATAATTACCCTCCTTATTTGTCTGCCCTCATCAAACTCATGATGTGTCTGCTAAATAGACACTGTTTTACTTTATTGTCTAATACAGGTTATATTTTATCTGCAATTCTTATCTTTTGTTTCTCTCACCACCTCTACCTTGTTTGCATTTCAGAATGAGATGTTTTTCAGTCATCTTATCTTGAAACCAGCTTAAGGATTTATTAAGGATGATTTTACGAGAGTTTAAGTTAAGATTAGGCTATGCCATTGCTACAATACTCCTTCAGGGCACTTTAAAAATTACTTGCAATTGTCAGTGCCTTAAAATGATGCAGACACCCTTAAAGTCACATGATCTAAAATCCATAGAGAAAACATTGTTGTGGGAATAGAAAAGAGACATACAGTGGAACATACAGTATGCATGCATCAGAGCAAAAACACAGTTCACCTAGTCATCACAGGGTGAAATATAGATACGGCATTGCATACGTGACATTAAAGTCGTATATACTTGTGAAAAACTATTTCATGCACTGCCTTCTGTCTTAAAACTCGTGTGTCTTTTTTATGGAAATGCAAGCAGCCTAATCGTTGATTAGTAATTGTTATTATTGATGGTAAATGTAAATAGTAATTGTAAAGAGTGGTGGCAAATGAATTAAATAGTAAGAAATGAAACCTATTTTACATATGTGAATGTTACAACTCAAACCCCGAAGATTAGTGGTTACAACACAAGGCTATACCTCATGTGAGAAATAAAGTAATCAGCAGGAAACAAAAAATATCAGTAAGCACACATACAGTAGTACAGCAGGTACAACTACATGAGGAAGGTAAACATCTAAAAAAATACTTGCCAAGTTGTGCTGAGAAAATCCAGCAGAGAGAGGGAGAAAAAGTTGGGGAAACACAAAAAAGGGTAGACAATAGGGATTACACAACAATATTTTATTCAGTAATGAATCCATGAATAAAAATATTGTTTTCTGACTAAAAGGCCTACTTTGAGGTATAACAGAAGTTCTCAGCAAGAAAACTAATTTTCTGGAAACTACTGAACACTGAAGCAGGGTCTATAGCCTGTGGCTTTTATATACAAAATGGCATTCCCATTGTATTATTAAGAATAAAACTGTAATTTTCTATATTAACCAATATTAGCTGGAAACTCCCCTTCTGGGAGAATTTACAGGTGCAAGACATTCTTGACTGCATTTAACTTAACATTTTGTTGTGTGAAAATACTAAGAATGGTATTTAGGGAACTTTAAAATACAATGAAAACAAAACTCTACTAAGCAGCTAATGAACACTGTATATACTTTAATATGTAATGAACATATACTTAAACTTTATAAAAAAATGTCGAAATGTTTAAAGTTTTTTTTTAATTTAATTCTATTAATACTACCTTCCTCGTAGGATTTTCTGCTTTCCAGTACATATTTTTTAATAAATTGACAATGGTTTTGTTATTTTATGAAACTGAATTGCAGAATTCATGAGTTTATAGTCTCATGCTATACTGATGATTGTGTTTAATTCTGCAATTCTAACAACATTTTTGATTTCACCATCTCTGCTTTCCCTTCAGACACACAGAAAAAGCCTAAAATATTTAGATGAAACACAGAAAATGATATCTAGTCTGAAAATAATTACATTAACATGTCAACAGTGAACATACTGTATGCAACTCAAATATATACATATTGTATATGATTAACTATATTCCTTAGTCTACAGTAGTACTACACTGTATATACTGTATCTAATGTCCATAAAATATTGTTGATGTTTCCATGTAAGGAATTCCAACAAATCAACTCCATGGTCATTTTGATATAATGTTGTTAGTTTCACTGTGGGTGGGCTGCAGGATGTTTATTTGTGTTTATTTGTGTACAGTATGTGATTGCATAGAACCCATGGAGGATGTTAAGATGTCAAGATTAGTGGGGAGAAAGTGCCTAAAAAACAGTGACAAGACAATTATTGGCAGAAATTTATGTACTATCTTCAGGCTTGTCATTCTCTGCCAGTATGATGCAGTACACCTTCATATATTATATACCAAAGGATGACTGAGATGTAATAATTGCCAGTAATTGCCAGCAGGCATATTAACTGCTTGCCTGCAACTCACAAATAGCAACCAACTGAAGCTCAGCAGGTGTGAGCCTGGTCAATACCTGGATGAGAGACCTCTTGGGAAAAACTATGGTTGCTGCTGGATGAGATCCTACTGGGGCCAGTAGGGGGAGCTCACCCTGTGGTCTGTGTGGGTTCTAATGCCCCAGTATAGTGACAGGAACACTATACTGTAAAAAGGTGCCGTCCTTTGGATGAGACGTAAAAGCGAGGTCCTTACAGTGCTGTAACTGTAACACTATACCCTGAGTGACTCTATCCATACAGTAAAGGAACTTAGCTAGGATCATCTGTTCAATCCCAGATCATATCACTAGCTGACTGTGACAAGGATTTGCCGAGCTGCAGCGCGCTATTGGCCGAGCACCCCTGAGAACAGGGTGGGACTAGTAGTAGAGGTTTCTTTTGGCTCTCTGCAAAACACAGCAGTCCCTGTGGGCTACTGGGCTTGTGCTGGAATACAGTGGTGTTCCTGAGGGATCTCACCTCAGATAGGCACTCAGCCTCTTGTTCGGGGCTGCATTGACAGTGAAGTGTTAAAAGACAAGTGGTTCGAAGGAGTGAGGGTCTGAGGCGTCCCCCTCATTCTCTACCATATGAGGTTAGGGGGTTCAGAGCCATGAATGTAATAGCAAAATTGCAAAGGCATAACAAAAGCTTAAAAATTGACTCAGTAATTTTGTTTCATATAAGACATGTTGCAACAAAGATAAAACAAATCAATAAATAAAACGTAAAAATGAGCATTAAATACCCTTATTTGTTCTCATTCTACACCTTTTGTTCAAGGGACTACAAGTATTTAACTTTGTCTTCATCACCTTAATAAAAACAATAACGTATTTCTTTAATTCTTTAAATGTAAATCATCTTGGAATCCTGTACAAATTAAGATGAGTTGAGAAAATAAAAAGAATATATAATACCGTACAAGACACAAGACAAATCAGCATACAGCAAGTAGTGTTGAAACAGGAGATGAAAAGTACAGTTGTACTTTCACAACTAAATATAGATGAGTTTCTGGTAGTGTTATTACTGTAGATGGTGAAATCAAAAGCTGTTATTTTATTATTTAAATTTAAACCTGTCACACAAGAAAAGGATTTAATTTGACAGGTCAGCAACGAAATTTCATACTCTAGCAGTAAGTGTCGTTCTCGATTTAATTGCAGATACTGTATGTTCCTGAAAAACACAGATGCTTAAACTGAAAATTAATTCCTTGTACGCATGCATTCTGTGCTCCACTCCGAACAAGAAATCTCAACTCCGTAAATGAAAGCAATTACACATTTATTAATGCAAGTATATAGTTGGACTAAAAGTAATTTTTAAATTCATTAAGAGATTGCTCATGAAACATGAAGGGAACTGCACTACCAACTTCACTCCTTTTACTCTTAGTGAGACTTTTAAATACCATTTATTTTGAAGACTCATTGGTAACATGATAATTTCTTTATATATACATTTCTTTATTGTAAATTGGTATTCATTTTCTTTAGTTGGGGCTTTTAATGATTATTACCTTTTCTTTAATGGTTTTATTTATTGAATATTACAGATGACAATTTTGTTTATCATTGTCATTTTAAACAAAAAGCAAAGTTTTATTTATAAGTTTGTTGCGTTTAATTTAATTTTGTTTAATTTTGAAGATTTTGTTCACACCGTAGCGAAGGTTTTATTTTAGATTTCATACAATATAAACTGTGACAGTGTGGCTGTAAAACAGCACTGCAATTCTGCCTGAAGTCACCAGATATTATCAAAGCCCTACCTTAAAATAATGCCCACATGAGGAAATATACTGTATAAGAAATTATTAACATAGGAATTCTGCTAAAACACAGGTGTCCTGGATCTAGTAGCACTTGTGTAGTACTTAGGAAGGAAAGCTAATCTGCTTTTGGACTTGGAAATTAGGAGCAGCTGGTGATTTATGGGTTTGTCAAATAAGAGACTTGACAGTGATTTAAAAGTAGTTTCATCAATTTGATAAATTTTCTCTGAGACATAGCAGTGCCTGCAATAGGAGCACCGTTTAAACTAAAAATGTTTTCCTGCAAGAGATCATACAGAGCAGATGTCCAGTGGAGGAGCCGGACAGGTGAGTTCATTTTCTACAAGAGAACACACTGTGAAACGATGAAACCCGAAGAAGGCTCCAAAGCCGAAACATTGTGTTTTCTTTCTCCTCATTTCAGCATGGAATAAATTGTTAAAATGTTAAAGTAAGAATTAATAAGGAAATGGTACTGTATACATTTTAAAATATGCATTATCTTTTTTCTGCAAATTAAGAGCAATTAAATCGAGAACTACTGTATCTGTATGTTATGTTAGCCCAAGAATCACTTTCATCTTTCGAATCGCTGAAGAAAAAAGTACCGCAAGAAATATAGTTTGCCCTATTGTATGATTTCAATGTTTAACTAAAACAATTGTTTGATTGTCAATATTGATTAATCCGACTCCATTCCGGAGAAAGTTATGGGAACACAGAAAAGACATTACGTCAGTACCAAAAAAGTGAAATCTGATTTACAGCCACAGAAACCACGAGGGAAAACTACAGCTGTCAGGAAAGATGTTTTCCAGCTTTGGATCCAGGGCCCTACCTAAGGAACCTTCTGGAACGGACAAAAAGGAAGGGAGGGAAATGTCTGCAATACACAGAAAACATTCCCTAATTGATTATTTTAATATGGGAAATGTTACACAATGAAAGAAGTGGGATTCAAGAACAGACCAAGGTGCTGAAAAGGAATTTTAAAGCTCAAAAGCTTTAAGAACTATAAAGAATCCCTATTTAGGCTTCACTTTCTCACAGTCGCAATGGTTTATAGCCAGTATTTTCTTTTGTCTGGATTTACAGCTAGAACAAACATAAGTTTGCCATTGTCAATTTCAGCAAAGGTTTAAACTGGAATGTTGGCTCTTACTGTTAAGCAATTAAGGATAATGCAGCAACCCATGATAGGACTGAAAATTGAAAATAATTATACTGTAGAACACACAGACAATGCATGAACAGATCTACAGTTTATTTTAAGACAATTGGTTTCTTTGCTAGAAAATGTAACCTGCACTGAAATAACTGAAAAGCAGTCTACTAAATACAAAAATGTTATCTGGAAAGTATTAAAGGGGTGCAGGGGTCGACTTGTCCTGTGTTATGAGATTTAATATACAGTATATTCTTACTGAATATACCTTTCTAAGTAGTACAACAATGAGCCTTCCAAATTTTTGTACCTTACCCATCTAGTGGAAATACCCCAGCAACAGAAGATACAAGTGAATAATTATTCTATTATTGCATAGCAAAGGAGGAAAGCAATGGTATTCACAAGGATTAAAGCTATTAGGTAGAATGCCAGAAAGACTGGTGTGTCTTTCACTTTAGAATCACAAAATTTCTCTACACAAACTAATCTACATATACTGCACATTGTTAATAAAATGCTATTGTACACTGCTTCTAAACATATAGGAACAAAACCTAACACAGTTTCTGCAATACTTACATTTAGCTTGTGTAATAGTGTCTCCAATTCTTGCACGAATATAGTGTAAACTGTATTCAGGTAATACCATTGCCAAGCTGTAAAAGACATTGTATTTGCATTTGTTAAACATTTATATTGTTTTTTTATGTTCAATAATTGTGGAAAAAGGTGACGCAAATATGAAAAATTCTAAACTTTTGAAATACCCTACCTGTCATTATCATGTATAGAAACATGTTAACAAGGGAACAATTTCCAAATAACACAAAAATGATGGGTAAGACAATATCTTATGCTGTATCGAAGGGACATGAATGAGAGATGAGAGGGAGAAATATAAAAGACTTAATAAATACAGGTGATAAAAGAACAGCTTTTTGAGCTTGTCTGATGTTTATGAATATGCTGAAGATCATAAAATAAGAACTATAATGAAGAATGAACGCCTATTAAAAAAACTGGTAACCAAAAACTAGCTAATGATTTTTAATTGGAACATACAGTACATCCTTATTTCTTCAATAAAATTATGAATAAACAGCAAGTTCAAACAAAAGTCTGACTTGGCTTGTTTACTAACACTAACACAATTTTACAAATAACAGCATTTGAAAAGAAACAAAATATTAGTTACATATTTTTATATTTGGCAATGGTGTGGATTGGGAGTATGAAGAGAATTTACCACTAACTGAAGCATGATGCATCTGCTTAAAAGTATTTTTTCTATTATACTATGTGGTTAAGAATCCTTAGGAGCACATAAGACTTAAAACTTCTGTTGTTTTCCCACAGTAAATAACACTAATAAAATACCAGGGGACTAAGGAGCTTGTGACACCAGTAACTTGTATTACCAAGAGGCAGAGCTAAAAGCGTGCCAACATGTACTGTATAATGGGAAATACACACAATGACATTTGTAGATTTTACATGTACAAATTGTCCATTTAGAAGAAATAAACACTTTGGTGATAATTGCAATACATGTGCCTAAAGACTGTGAATGTTTCTCACTTACAATAATGAGATCTGACTCTTTAAAACTAGGTCACTATGCGTGTAGCGTGCAGCGTGCAACCTCAATCATGATTCCCGGCAATTTTTATTAAGCATTTTATCAGACCTGTGGTTGGATTTTTCCTCCTCAGTCCTTGGGCTTCACTACTTTGGGTGACTATACCAACCATTTTCTCCCATGCCGATTAGAGTCAGGATACCCGCAGAACCCTCCATCCAGCCTTCAGTGAAACTCTCAGCTTCAGTTTGAGACAGGGGAATTTCCTTTCCTTAATCCCCTCTGGGACTATCGATGAGAGTATTTCTCCTCACAGGGAAATTTCTCAGTACTTCTCAGGGGTGAGACAGGGGCTCACTTCCCCACGGTTGCCTTCCAGGATCTATTCTTTACTCAGTTCTAGCTCACCAGAGTGCTCCCTGGCTACTACCTCTCTTCTAACCAGCCGGCTTACACACCATAGGACGACCTTGCTGCTGCCTCACTTTTATCCTGCTGATTCTCAAAGGTGCCTTTTCTGATTCTCCCTTCATGGGGTCTTGAAGCCCCAGCACACCAAACCATCTCCGGTATCAACCTTCCTCTTTCAAGGTAAAAACGTCCACCATGATCTTTTCTGCCCCACACCCATGTTTAACCTGTTTCTTGTAACCTGCGTACTGTAGCTACACCAGCTTGGATTAGCCACTAACCATGGGGCCCCTGACACAGCAGCAGTTGCCTTTTCCATTACTTTGCTTTAGAATTAGTCTACTTACAGTATTTTCCTCAATTTTTCTCTAACTGTAATGGAATTTCTTCAGCATTACTCAGGGACACCACTTCCTCTTGAGACCTACGAACCCCCTTACCACTGGAGCTGGTTCTTTCGACAGAGTCCTCACCAGGGTAGGCTGCACATATGAATAGGGAGGGCTTGCCTTATTTCTCCCCTCATAATTCTAATGTCCTACCAATAATATGTTAACCGGTGAACTATTCCCTTGGAGTTCTTCTCCCCATTTGATTTTCACTTGAGACTCCCATTGTAGTGGCTAGGTTGATGGGCAAGCACTATCATTAACATACTTCTTTCAGGGCTAATTCTCAACTCCTAGATAACTGATCCTAACTGAGAGGATCTACTGATCCATAAGATTGTTCTGTGTAATACTCATTTTTGTGAGTTCTTTCTCCATTTAAAGAGAAAGCCAGCTGCATCAAAAGACTATGTTGCACCCTTGTGTGAATGCCTGCACTTAAACCTGGTTATCCACAACTGTTTCTCTTATTACGTCGTTCTAAAGATACTCTCAAACTCCATAAGTCTGGAGACTCAAGAAGGATGGCTCTGTTACAGTCACTTAAGGAGAAACATAGACAAGCCACTTCCTTTGTCTGCTCCTCAATATTTTTCCTCATTCTTTCTAATGATAGAAAGAGTTTTCTGAAGACCTCTCCACTTTGTCTAATAAAGGTAGTCTATCTTCTGTGGTAAGACAAGGGAAATCTATGAATACCTTGAGAAGTGTCTGAACACTTAATTCAACCCTCCAAGACAGCCACTTATTTTCAATAAAACTTAATGGCACAATATTCAGTTCATATTTGTATTATGTTCTAATATAAGCACACATTGGAATTTGTATGGCTTTTAGCATACACATTCTTGGCAGCAGTAAGAAATATCCATGCCAGACCCTAGTAAATTCAAGGTTTCAGGAAAGGCTGTGAAATTTAGGTACAGTATAAGCACAGAAATGTCACCATAGAGGAGGAATATTAATTAGACGGAACAAATAAGAAATAAAAGCCTGTGTTCTTTTCCTGTAGCATGTTGTATTGGGGCTTGGTATTTTCATGCTATAGTCAGAGATCTAGTCTGTACTGAAAAGTGATGCAAGGGAAATCAAAGATGACACTGTTCATACAACAGATTTTCAAAAAGACAAGTGTTGATTGGTCTTTGTTGAGAGCAATTGGCAATTGGAAGGCAGGGCATTAAGAAATTCATATTATTATTCATTTCTTCCAAGTTGAAGGATTTCTCAAAGTGAAAGCAACATGAATTCATTGCATTTTTGTAAAGGTCCCTAAAGTAAAATATGGTGTTCACACTAACACTCTTTTGAATCCCAGATGACTAGCATCTTTTGGGATTGGAGGAGAGACTTTCATGACTAAAAGTCTAAAAATGAGTACTTAGTGTACCACTTTCGATGAAAAGCACAGAATACCAGAAAATTCGTCTCTCTGATTACGTCTAGCTGTATGGACTTTGGTATTTTTTTAAGATTGCACTTTGAATGCAGAATGATTCTGACTGAACTTGTAAAGGACAACCAGCTAATGTAGATAAGCACATAGTGTAACAAGTATAACAATACCTGCTTGTTGCAAATTTGACAGCTCCTCACTTAATCAATGAAGTAGGGAATTTGCAAGGGCAGAAATACTCATGAACAGGGTTTCGGGATACTCAAAAGAATTCACAATTTCAGGAAACTAACAAAAAATACACACAGAGCAAAACAGAAAAACAGTATTTGCTAGTGTATATTCGGTGATACACAACAAGCTCAAAACTGTACCATTACCTGTAATCTGTTCCATTCACAGGTGCCCAAGTATATGTTCTGTCGCCTCGGTCAATGTATCTCTGAAAGGAATTAAAATAATTAAGAAAAAACTGCAAAAACTTTCAAATAAAATAAATGCTATTTCTTTCTCCATACAAATTCTTAACCTCTGCTTCTAAAATGACTGATCAGCACAGAACACTTCTAAAGGCCTTCCTATTTAGAAAGGTTGTGGGAATCTGGAACAAACTACCCATTCATGTTGTCACAACCTATATCCTACATTCTTTCCAGAAAGAAGTCAAGCTGATCCTTAGATCAACTAGATGCTAGAAACCAAAACAAGCTAGGTAGGCCAAATGACCTTTAAGATTCAATGCAGGTTATTAGCCGAAATAAATTAACTTGCATGTTTCATTGCTGTCAACGTTTTTCACATATTAAGATTCACTAAAACTTCTGGGAACTTGTAGCATATGGAGTATTTGCATATTTCCATTGCTCATTCTGTCACAATCATTTTCCCGTGTAATTCTGGGATGCTAATGAGTACCAGGAGGACTGTAGTAATGAACAGATCAGCAAGTTGATCATTATTAAGCATATCCATGCAAAGACCTTATAGATCTCTGCCAACAGGCTGGCACCACCCAGAGGCCAGGAAGTCACATGCACAGGACACAGCCTTGCACGCACTCACTGAATGGGGAGAAATCTCTGGTACTCCCTGACTCAGAACCCACATTTCAGCCAGAAATAGCAGACACTCACACACAATGATAGCACAGAACACTGGGGAACACAGACAGGACAAAGGGAAAACAGAAAGCATGCAAATTCATCTGTTTATATTCTGTCAAAGTCCAGGGTCATGCTACCCCGAACTCTTAATAAGCACAACTTACAGTACATATTTTTATGGACACTATTTACAGCAATAACTCTAACACGTGTGTATTTTTTTTTTGTGGAACCTTTGGTATGAAAAAATAATGTCCTGGCCTAAGAAAAAAATGACCTACTGTATTAGAGATCCAGGGGTAGACAAAGGTTATATTTAATATTAGTCATAGAAGTTTAATATTTCCATTAGTACTGGGTAGTTAGTTCTGAGCTAGTGTCAGAATACTCAGAAGAGCAGATAAAAGTGGGCATAAGAACACAATCTGTATATGCATCTCCTGACAGTACTACATAGACTACTTTATTCTACATGCTGAGATAAACCAATATCTCAAAGAAACCAAAAATCTGAAAACCCTATCCTAAAGAACAACTGAAGACTGTATATCTATTTCAAGAAGACTGTATTTCTATTTTTTATAATCTTTATTTTCAATTATTTCAGAATCTTTTCTTACTCACTACTGTATTTCATGATCAATGAAAATTCTGGATGTCTAAAAAAAGGACTTCTCTGTAACCACTGAGCTCCAACAGTATCATGTTTGACACATTGCCTATTTTCCTACTGTACTAAGCATGTGGGAGATGTTGTTATTGTTAGTATTGCTCTAGTCCAAAACGTTTTCACTGTCTAGTTGAGTTACACTCATCCGTTTGGAATGTGGATGATTGTTGCTACTTTTACTGATTATGGTTCACCACTTTAAGCACGTAGATAAACTAAGATGTATCGGTGTAAGTAACAGATGTAAGTGAGAAATCACTTTCTCGGATGTTGTGCTCTTCAACTCTCCAAAAAAAGAAATGTTTATGTAAAATAACAAAGCACGGGTATTTCAAAAGTAAATTCACTGGTCCCAGTTGAAGGTTTAAGGAAGTCATTCTCTTTTTTCTCAAGTCTGTTTAAAAAGCACAGATATGTGATTTTTTTCCCTGATATGTTGTACTGTAGCAAGTTAAAAATGCACTTATGGCCTAAGATGTTGTTACACATTTTGGACATACTTTGATATTGACAGATTGTATTGAAGTTTATGCGACACTTATAACATCGTTACAGAGGTAAAAAAACAAATCCTTTCTTATTACCTCATCCTGAGACTTCACCAAGGTGTGTATTGTACGTTCTCCCTTTTTCCCATCAATCATGTCTTTTCGTATCTACAAAATAACAAAGAAAATATTATTAGATGTATAAAAGGTACAGAGGCCATCTGATCTTTGATTTCTTCCCTTAGGAAAAGTAAGATTTATTTCTTCAGCATTTGTTTGAAGAAACACTTGTGAAACCACTGGGAAAGCTGAAATGAGATTAAGCTCCCCCTACTGGTTGATGCATGTGATAGCCTCAAAAGAGCCACTAACCCCACCTCCTCACCACAGAGCATCTCATTCAGATGTGGCTGTCTGTGTTTGTGCCCATGCTGGGCATTTTTATGAAGTGATCAAATGAATCAATCTTGAATTTTTTTTTCACTTAGAGGATATCAAGTTTAATCATGTATTCAGCATTCTACAATGTTGCCTATTAACATTCAGTAATTCAAGTAGGTAGCTGCGTCAGCATGCGTAGACTGCAATGGAATAAGTAAAGGTCTATTCCATGCTGAAAAGAGAAGAAAGAAAACCAACGTTTTGGCTGTTTTGGCTGTTTTGGCTCACACCAGAAGAAGGCTCCACAGCCGAAACGTTGTGTTTCTTTTCAGCACTCGTTCCAAAGCAGCAGTCAGATTACTTTTTTTGTTTCCATCCAATAGCTCTAATTAAAGAAAATCACATAGAAGAAAAATCTGCAATGCACTCCTAAAAATACTCATATAATAATACAAATGACATAGATCGCAATTAAGACCCAGCGCTGTTGGGTTATTTATTATCTGGCAAAGGTGGTGCAAAATTCCATGAGGAATACCCTTTCCCGGCACACTTTCCACCTGCCACCCCTTACAACTCAAATACCATTTGAAATCGCAAGGTCACTTAACAAAACATTTTACAGAATGGCCCCATAACTGGGCCCTTTTCTCTGGACCCCATGCCTCTATTCCTATACTGTTAGCTACCTGATTTACACAAACGTTGTCAAAGCTCTCTTGACAACCTGCTATTGTTATCTACGCCTATTCAACACAAGCCACCGTACCACCTACAAATACAAATCCAGCAGAACCCATATGCACAGCACAGCTACGTGAAAGTGCATTTGAAATAAGGAACAGGAGGCACTTCTTTATCCAAAGTATTGTTGGAATGTGGAACAACTGAAACCTTGAGTTCTACCAAAAACAGCTGAGTGACATCCTTGGATCAATGATCTGTACTACTACTACAGTAACAAGCTAGAAGGGTCACTCGTTATGTTCTTATCTGAGAAACTGGAAAAAAACGGGCCAAACATTTTAGGAGCATGTAGGAATGGTGTTGATTATAGAACAAGCCATCAATAAAGTCAATAGTGCCTCATTTCACCTCTCCCTACCCTGATTACACTGGACTTTCTGTCTGTGTTATTTCAGTGGAAGTTTAGTTAAAATGATCTTGGCACTCAATAATAAACTGAAATATATCTAAGACCTCCATTAATTTACAGATTATTTCCTTCCATACTACCACCCAGATTTCCATCTCTTTAATCCCCCCTTTGAACTCTTCCTACCCATTCTCACAAATTCTCTTTTCTCTTCCCAACCCCAACCCTTTGCCTCACACAGTATTTCATCTCTTTCCTTCTCCTCTCTCTGTGCACCTATAAGGCTTCACTGTTGTAAAATTATTTTTTTTCTTTTGATTTCATTGTAGAATTACCCTCGTCTTGTTTCTTCATAGTGTTTCGTAGAGCAAAGACACAGTAAGCACAAGGTTTAAAATGAAAGTAATCTTGTTGGTAAATCCACGGTCATTTTACAATACTTGTTGTGCAGTACCTGCACTTTGATATCATTCTCCAGTTCAGCATCCAGGAAATCCAAGGTCACTGGCTCCTGGAATTTAGGGTTCTAAAGCAGGAAGGAAGATATAGAATGAACCTGTTAAGTTTCTTGTAACTTTAACTGCAGTAACGTGAAATATGTATTTTAAAACTATATCGTACATACTGTATGTAGAACTTTACTACACTATTTAATGGTACATTGAAAATTAGTTCCTTTGTGCAACAAAGCCCTATATATATTTGGTCTTTAACATATAGTTAATACTTAGGATGTATTACATTACATAAGTACAGTATACTGAGCAAAATTGTTTAAGAAGAAAATTAGATAAACACGTCAAATAAGTATGATTGTTTGGTGCACCTAACTGACAGAGAACAGCAGGTAAATGTTTTTTTTAATTAATGCTTATATTTATTTATTATATTCCTTAATTAAAGAGGAAACCTCAAGAGCACTGATCTAGGTTAGTGTTGATAATGCAGCTTTTGACTTTTTTTTTTACTTTGGCTATCAGATATTCAGAAATCATTATTTAATTCAGTAACCAGCAGAGCACACAGTTTCAGCTACAGTACATTGTCTCTTTGGCATTTCTTAAATACATATTGGAATGATAATATTTGTGAATAACATCTACTGTAGCAATCCCTGGAAAAAACAAACAAACAATGATATCACAGGAATTTAAAGTAAAAAATAATAAATCCTAGAAGATTCTCACACTATTTGCACTGTACTCAGAGAAACAGATAAGAAACAGATAAGGCTTCTTTTGCAAAGCTGTCTGACCCATTTCAAGTTTAAGAGTACCACAGGATCTTCAATGACCAGGTAATCAGGACATTGAGTTAACATCTTATATGAAATATAGCATCTCCTATAGGCCAGTGTGCCTTCTAAACATACTGGTGTACATTGGTGCAGTGGTTTGGAAATTCTGTAGCAAGTACAGTACAATATTTATCTTAGAGCTTAGAGCTCAACCATCCCAGTGCTTTCCAGAGGAAGTCTGGCTTAGCTTCTGAGATCTGACATGATCAAACTACAAGATGGTAGAACTGCCATCAAACCCTTTTTAAAGACTGCAACCAGAGACAGGGGACAGGAGCACTGTTTAACAAAGCATCAGTCCTTTAACAGGAGGGATATGAATACAATTATATAGCGCTTTTCTGGACACTCGACTTAAAGCGCTTTACAGGCAATGGGTACTCCCCTCCACAACCACCACTGTGTAGCTCCCTCGTGGCTGATGCAACGGCAGTCATAGTGCTCCAGTACGCTCAACACACATCAGCTCTCAGTGGGGAGGAGAACACAGTGTAGCCAATTCAGGGATGGTGATTATTAGGAGGCCACGACTGGTCCCACTTTCAGCATCAACCTTAGTTTTTCCCAGGAGATTTTTTATCCAGGTACTGACCAGGCTCACACCTGCTGAGCTTCAGTGGGCTGCCAGTTGTGAGATGCAGGTTATATAGTACTGTTTTTCAATGTAAATGTAAGTACAGTATACCCTATATGCCTATATGCCCTACAATGCCTATGGGCATTGAATCTCTCTTTGTGTGTGTATAATCGTAATGTTATAATCAGATCAGTTCACATCTGCCACTGCTTCAGAAGTCACCATCACACTGGACATGAAATCGAAGAAAAACATGCAATATATTGTTTTATATTTTGGAGGATGGGAGAGGGCAGCTACTGTAAATCACCTACATGCTATAGTTCTGAGAGAAATACAGTACCTGTGGATTATTAATTTATTTGGAAGTGTATACAGAAGAACCTTAATACAACATAAGGAAAACATGTACGAAATGGTTCACCAAGGAAATTGTCTTTTCATTATTTACACTTGTAAAAGAGAAATGAAAATATGCAATGATATCAAAGAAAAATGCAGTGAAGTCACAGTTTCTTACATGCAACGAATAATGCAAAGAAACACCCCACCAAGCAGCATGCACAACATGACAGATGTAGAGAAAACGGGTTCAAGATGATTCGTCCAAACCATCAGGACATGGAAAGGGAAAAACAAAAAGTTAGAAGTAATGAAATGAAAATCAAACCAATGAATGACAAATCTTTAAAGGTATAGAATCTTGCTTTGGTTTTATAAGACGGAATTGAATTTGCTGTTAATATTGTATACTGTCATTTTTAAGCTGTCATTTATTTTAAAATAAATGCTGGGGGCACACAAATCTCTTATGCAGAAACAGTTGACTGCAGTCTCACTGAGGTTGTCTACTTTTCAACAGACTGGAAACATTGTGTGTTCTGGAGTTTTACAATTATCATGTTCATCAAGAGGGAGTATGTTGTTATGTTTAGCACTTCTTGAGAGAGTTTTAAGGTTCTGCTTGAATTTACTAGTGCCTTAGAATTGTACAAGAAACCATGAATATTCAATTTCTTTCTTTCATCATGCAATAAAAATCTCAGACAATTATCTGTGTGGAAAGCACAATATACCCTATAGTTCTAAAAATCCTGACACAAATTTGCAATGTATAATTGAACAGCATGATGTTAATATTCTGCATTGATGTGCGTTATGTTTTAAAAGGAGGTTCATTTAAAAACGTTTTCAAGGAGACATCATATTTAGTACCAATTTTCCATGTAAATATATTTGAAATGTATATTCTTTATAATTAAATTAGTTCAATTTTATTGGGTATGATGACAATCACATTTAATAGAACTGTAATTTGTTTTCAGTGAGATTATGTGCAAGTTGTGATTCATTAGTAATTTTAACTGTTAATACATTATGACATGCAAATTAAATCAAACAGGAAAGCAGTGGATACCATAAAAACATATGCTAAATGAAAGGGCTCATGCAATGCAAAATTCAAATTAAAGCATAAGTCAAAAATAAAAATATACTGTATAAAAGCAGATTCTTCATGAAAATCAGACTATTTTCTCACAGAGGGTTTACACCTTAAAGCCATTAAGGATAATAAAGATATTAAACCATTAAAGATATATTCAGGTCAATTTTGAAAAAGGTCCAATAATATAAGAATTAAAACTGATGATGATTTGCACAACAGAGTGAACATTGGGGAAATAAATTATCATCAGTCAATCCTAAGCTGGATATCTGTCAGGGTCATGTCAATGTTTATCTGTTCATATCATGTACAGTACTATATACAAAGATATTCCTCATTATTGCTTTCAAGTCTAATTTTACATTTGTTTATTGAACAATATATACAACATTTTCTTTCTCATAACTGAACTACTGTGGTCATTTCATGTAATTTTCTAAGCATAACATGAAGTACTCATTGCTAAATATTCCTGACTCATATGAATATGTTTATCAGAATTTTTGTTGTTTGGACAGTGCCTATGGAAAGTGAATGCATCCTTTATACAGTAACACATTTTGTGGCCTGAAATCAAGAAGCATTAAACCAGAATTTATTGTATCTTTATTTACACATTGCAACACACATGTTAAGTAAAAGTAAAGTCTAAGTAAAAGCAAATGCTCAAAATTCTGAAAACATACTTTGAAAACGGTGAATAGATTTTCTATAGGCACTGTACTTTTGCCAATTTGATCAGCCTTATTTTTAAAGCTCCCACGTCTTACTTAACATTAGAAACAAAGTTTCACTAAACGGAAAGGAAACAGTATCTAAAAGAATGTTAATTTAACAATAATATTCTTTGAATATTTTTAACAATATCAATTTTGATTAACAGCATTTTCCAAATTGAAAAGAAACTTTCCTATGTGCAAATCATTTACTACACTGAAAATCAGCATGAAATATAATCTGTTAAAGACAACACACATAATAAACATAACAGATGTAACAAAAAGTCCTAAGATTTTAGTTAAGATTTTGAATGTTTCTTTTTCTAAAATGGTATAAACTGTACCTGTATATATTAATATGAGAAAGCACAAGTCTGACATTACATAGAACAGTATAATTTACACATTTGAAAACAGTTTCATTTTAAGTTTTATTTTCATAAAATTGTCTTTAACTCTTCAAAACTGAATTTTTAATCTGCACTTTCATTTCATCCTGCGTTTGGAATATTTTAGAAGGGGAAAACACACCATACAGTATATTAACGAATTCACTTACTCTTACACTCTCCCCACCAAAACATTAGAACCATTATGTCTATAAAACATTTATATGAGAAACACACAACATTATTTAAGTCAAATAAGCCTACATAGTAAACAGCTGCTTAAAGGCTGTGGCAGCAAAGCACATCAGCTACAAAGCCTACCTTAGCAGCTGCCTGCATTGCCCTTATTTTCTGCTATCGTGTGCTAAGTATCATGCAACATTCCCTAGTAGAAAAGCTGTCTGCCAAAGCAGCTGGTTTTACAACAGTCTGAGCCTTTTTTAAATTTGGACAAACCAGGGGGAAGTGAGCTTTTACATGAATACTAGATGCTTGTTAGATGTACCTCACACTGTGATTAAGGTTGTGGTATGTCATTAAAAGGATGACAAAAACCACAGATTTAACAGAGATTAACTCGATGACAAGATCAGTTTCTTCTTTCATCTCAAAGAGCTGCTTTCTGAGAGCACTAATTGTAAATTTGGGAACAGTTAAAAAGAACAAAAAAGAGATTGATGTGTTTTTAATTTTTAAATGGATATACATTATTATTTATTACAGTCAATATCCTTTACCATAGCTGAATTTTATCACATTCAGATATTAAAGGCTTCACTGACTCCTATTTAAAGAGTATAAATGAATATGTATTAAATGTCTGGTTTTATGTTACATCAGAAACGTTTTGCTTCAGGATTCACATAAGGCTACACATCCCCCTTTTATCCGCCATTACCTGGAAAACAGGCTTCCATATTCCCGTTAAAACCTTTGGGATTCCTAGACCAACTGGCTGAGATGGTGAAAAAGTGATATCCATATAAATAATACCCTTTATTATACATTTAACACCTGTAGTGAGAGATTACAGTACTCATGTGGCAGACCATATTCTGGCCAAATAAGTTATAATTACATAGGAAATCTAAAGTGTAAAACCATGCCTTCTACTGAGATCATTAGGAGTAATAGCAGGGGAAAGTGAATGTGCCATAAATTTGGGATTGGACTTTCAGTTGCACAGTTCATCGCTACAGCTACATTATACTACTTCTTAACAGGAAAAAAAAAAAACGTCCTTGCTTAAAGTTTTGAGACTCGCACACTGTGTGACTCATTGTTAAATTAAAGCATTGAGCATTTTCAGCTATAGAGACAATTAGCATAACTGAAAAGATGCTCTACACTCTGAAAAAATATGTCATATTATAATTATTCCTTTATTGATTCTATAAGTAAAGTTTGGAAAAGACTACTGAAGTTCCATCAATCACTTGATCATTAAGCTACAAATTCAGGACTTTAGACATTTCTTCCCATCATCTTTTCTCTACCAGTGCTCCCCTTGGCTCACCCATGTGGCCATCATATTTTCCCTTAAGCCAAGTACTGTATGTTTTAGACAAAATATGTCATAAATTTAACACTTTTTAACATCAAGGCTTATCTATCCACCATGTGGATGTGTCTCCTGAAATGTAGGCTTCAACACCACAGATAGACAAGCTTGTTGCAGTGATACAGATACAATAAAGGCAATTTATCACTGAATCTTGAGTCTTTTAGCAAAATAAAATTGCATTTAAATGCTAATATTGCCCATTATGTTCTGTTCTTATTTCAATTTATTTTTCTAAAGTTCCCAAGTACAGAAAACCTAACAGTTACAATCATGTTGTAAATAACATTTTTTTTATCACCATAATAAAGTAGATTTGTGAAGCTACCAAGAATATTCAGAACATTTTTTCACTGTAGGATTGGAAACAACTGAAAAGGATAATCCCAAACTCATGGCAGGTCACACTAATCTACAACATACTCTCACCTCCTTGTAGGTAAATGCATATTTGTTATTAAGTTTAATCCTATGGATCCTTTTCTATCAAAAGAGTAAAAGTTAATTAAATTAGATTGGTTATTAAAATACATCCATTTAAATCACTTTGTGTGGCTGCACAAAGTTAGCAAAAGTGCTAATGCAAACTTTTCACATTCATAAAACCTTTGTAAAACTGAGTTAAGAGTGAAAGGGGATTTGTGACACCAACACACAGTTACATTTGGTTTATATTTGCTGTTATATAAAACCTTTAAGGATGTTTAAGCTATCAAAATGGTTTTAAAACATGCAGTACACTAGATTGGTGAAAGAGTGAAACATCCATTTAGTCTCACTTGGGGCTTCTGAAAAAAAAAAGTGTAAGAATTGAATTGCTTATATTTCAATTTCCAAGTTTCGTGCAAACGGTAGCTTTTTAATTGTGAAGGCTATGTATTTGAGGATATCAGCATCTCAAAACGTGGGCATGTTGTGCAAAGAAATGAAAATACAGATTTCTGTATGTTACTTTAATACTCTCTCAGCCTTCTCTATCAGAGAGAGAAAGTGATGTGTGATAGTTGGAATTCGCTGTGTGTTTCAGCAAATTTTGAAATATAATAGATCCAGTAAATGGGGAAACTGAGGATTTGGTCAATTATACTGCTGCTACAGTATTTGCAGGTTTGGTATTAAACCTCTCCTTGTACGAATGATAAACTGAATGTATGAATTTTTACCAAAACATGGTAAAACTTCTGGTGAAACACAAAGGATCCTAAATGGTATCTTGGGATTTCACTTTCTTACGAGAGGTTCTTGCTCATCTCCACCATTAAACTTAATTACTAGTAATGCTACAGAAAATAAAAAGTACATAATGTAAGGTTATAAGTTTCCATTAACTGAAAACAATTCACCCTTTTATAAACAGTCTTGTTGAGAACTTTTAACAGCAATGTCAAAAATTACCTACAGTATATACACTGAATCACTAAAGATCACTAAAGGAGCTATTTTACTTATCTCCTTGATAGGATTCTACCTTTAGTTGCCTGTTGAGTTGCAATGTTTATGAAGCACCTGTTGTAAACCAATTGTTGCTGAGTCCATACAACAGACATTGTAGCATTACTTATTATATTATTGTTCAGAGAATCTTCTCATCTTGGAATTTGTTCAGTATTTATCAAGGTATACATTATAAACCTTTTCTCACCAGAGGGAAGTACCTGCAAGATTACATTTCTCCAAACAAGTTGAAAGAATTGTGGCTTAATATAAAAATGTCTAACCAAATTCCTAATATTTCATAGTTTATACAGGACTACGTATATTTTCTGTTAAAAGTTGCATTTTGCTGCACTTAAAAGAGATTGCTTTTTAATTTGCTTCTTGTTTTTATATTCAATTAATAATTAATTTAAGTAAAAAAGAGTTTTGTGTAACTTGTGTCTGGAAAAACAAAAATACTTTTTCAGTAAAATGATAAATATTGTAACATAATAAAGCTGCCTATTATTACAACACAGACTAATCATTAATCATTTAATATAGTTAAATCATAATTAAATATACAGTCATACTGTTGACTATAAATGAAATATACAGATAGTTTAAGATATTCAAAACAGAAAGAAAATCTGCCAAAACTGAAAAGAGAAGTTAACCCATGGAACTGTCCTCTATAATGAATTTTAAAGTCTCATTAGTTCTAAATTGTCTACATTTATTATTCATTATTATTCAAGAAACATCATGGGTCTCTCATTTCCCCCCTCTTTACAAAGACAAGTATAAATAGGTAGGGAAATATCATGTGAAACTGATGTTTTCTGACAAATAATGAGTAATGTGTGAAGAATGCACTTTGTTTAAAACAGGAATAGCCTATAAAGTTACTTTGGTAAAAAAGCCAAAAAATCACATACCTTTGGCTGGAGATTGGGATGAAGCAATACATAGCCATTGGGGTCAATGGCAAAATAATATCCATTAGGACCAATCTAGAAAAGAAGTGTATAATAATCATTATAGTCACTTTTTGTACATGGACCACCCGGATCCCTGTCTCTTGTTATAATATAATTGCACAAACCTTACAGGAAATTTGAGTTATTCAATAGAATACACTAACAACACTAACTCTGGAATAAAAGGCCTTTGTAGTAATACACAAAATACACATTCCATTAACATGTTCGCATCTGGAAATACTTAACGTTAATCTAGAATCACTATCATTAAAGCTGAAAAAACATATAATCCCAGCTGTGTGTATTTTTTAGACAGCAGTACATTTTCATCACTTTCTTCTGAAAATTAAAGACATTTCTGATAAAACCAAACAGTAAAAAAGACAGAACAGCAGGAATGTTTTTTTAAAAGCACCCATTACTATAAAGAACGTGAACGTACAGACCATGAATCACTAAAAGCTGAACTACATTTCAATTCTGCAGTTAACGAATGTACACAAAGTTTAAATGAGCTAGAATACTTATACAATAAATTGCTACATCAGGTTCTCGAGATTTTCATTTATAAATCATTTATAAATCACTTCGATAACACTTTTTGCATTTGTTGAGGGATTCTTGCTAGGCAATTATCTGATTAGTGCCATAAAAAAGCTTTTATTGCTTGTTGGAAATAAAGCAATTTTGGCTCTGTAATCATGTTTTTATTTTTTGTTAAATCTGAATAATCTTAATCTAAATCTGATAAGACACTTGACTGAGAATGTATCCTAAACAATAAGAGTGAAATGCCTATTTAGTATTAGTAATACTGTTAAGTATCCACGTCAACATTTGCATATTAAATATTATACTTACTGTAAAGCGTGGTGTGAGCCTCTTGATATCATCAAGAGACACATCAATTGCCATTACTCCCAGAATGAGCTGGTTCTGGTGCTTAAAAATAAGTTAAAGATTGTTAGAAGTGTATCACTGCTTGTGCTGATTTTTAAACAAATGTCAATAAATTGATAGTCTTGACTCCATCAGAGAACTCCTAACCAAAAATGTGTGCATGGGTGCATGGAATGAATATTTATTTAAATTTATATTAGGCTCTTCATCTCAACGGATCTGAAATTGGCTCACAGATAGGTGAAGACCTGTTAATGTACAGCACCCACCTGGGTAACCCGTATCAGCAATTGAGGCTGAAGCATGAGATCAGCAACAGCAGGTGAGCCAGCAGCCATATCACCCTGCAACTCACAGCTGGCAACCCACTGAAGCTCAGCTGACCAGGTGTGAGCCTGGTCAGTACCTGGATGGGAGACCTCCTGGGAAAAACTAAGGTTGCTGCTGGAAGAGGTATTAGTGGGGCCAGCAGGGGGCGCTCACCCTGTGGTGTATGTGCATCCTAATGCCCCAGTATAGTGACAGGAACACTATAGTGTAAAAAGTTGCTGTCCTTCAGATGAGACGTTAAACTGAGGTCATAACTCTCTGTGGCGTTTCTCAAAAAGAGTAGGGGTGTAACCCCGGCCTTAATCAATCATGCCTTCCTAATAATCCCCATCTATAAATTGGCTTCATCACTCTGTTCTCCTCCCCACTAATAGCTGGTGTGTGGGGAGTGTACTGGTGCCCTTTGGCTGCCGTTGCATCATCTAGGTGGATGCTGCACACTGGTGGTGGAGGGGAGCACCCATTACCTGTAAAGTGCTTTGAGTGGGGAGTACAGAAAAGCGCTATATAAGTGTAAGGAACTAGATGGGGCAGTGAAGTTAGAAACTGCCTCACCAATTGAAATACTGTAGTAAGGCCAGATTGTACAGGCCCAGAGTGGAATATAGCCAAAGCACTGGGATTAATACAGCTGCTCTTATGAACAATGCCACGTGATCTTTCATGACCAAGTAGTCAGGACCTTGGTTTAAAGTCTTGTCACCTCCTACAGCACAGTGTCCCTGGTCCCTAAACATGGATTTTGGTTGGGAAATTCCGGTGCAGAGGGAAGAGTGACACCTAATGGCCCACGAGAACCACTTACAGCAGCAGCCTGTTTGTTACTTAGAGGACTCCCATCCGAGTACTTTCTGAGACTATAGGTGGTGATACTCCAATGATGCGGAACAAGTGTGTCTTTGAAACTGGGGTTCTAATACGATGCTTTTGTGTGACTGAACAAAAGAACATACAGTAAAAACCATTATGCACTAGAGGAAGCCCATCTAGCCCATTCGGTAGTTACTGGAGTAGTTAATTAATCCGAGGGCCTCAACTAGCCGTTTTCTGAATGGAGCCGAAGTATCAGCTTCAAACACCAATCCCCAGGAACCCTGTTACATACTCTTACAACCCAAAGAAATGCCTTCTGTTCCCTGTTATAAATGTACTTTCACGTAGCTTCCACTTCTGTCCTTTGTTTCTTGTTTTACTGATGAGTCAAGATATTAGAAAGTGCACTCCAAAGCATGAAACCAGTGCACTCTCTAGGAGGCAGTAGAATAAAATTAGCAAATAAATATAAAAAAGCTACAGTCTTTTTTTTTTGTCAAACGGATTTGCAGATAGGCAATGGCAGCTAGATGATTTAGCTAGTGTTGCTGTTGTTGTTGAATATAGTGTCGTGCGGAATACAAGTCAGGTTCCACAAGCCCAATGCCTAAGTTCTGCTATTTGTTTGTTCTCTGGCACATTTCCGACCATATTGAACACTAACATGAAATCAAAGAACAAAAAAAAAGGTTCGACAGTGAATGTTTCCATTTGTCTTCTGGGATGCAGGCAGAGAGCTGCTGTGTGATTTCAAGTCTGAGAACATGTTATCTAGAATGACCTTTCGGGGAAGTATTGTGATGTGATGGGAGAGATCCCAGAGGCTGTAGTTCGTGCATGTCTCCATTCGACAAGATTGGAGAAGGGTTAAAGTCTGACATTTTAGATGTATCTAGTTTTATCTCCCAATATTTTACCTTGGGAATATGCTAATTTCATGGTTTGTGCTACATCACACTCATGTGACAATGGTGGGTAAACTGAAACTTTTGTAAACTAACAGCAAACCTAAACTACAGTATGTTATGCATGTGTAACTGTCCATGATATCAAATTGTATGCTAAAACACTCAGCATGAAGAGGTCAAGGCCAGTACAGAACACACAGCGGATGTCTGATTAAACAGACTGTCCTGTTTACTGTAGAATTAGCAATATTATTCTCCAGGAGAGGAAAAAAGCAGTAAAATTTATTTAGTACTTGACAGCTTTATCAAAGTGTTTTTCCAGTAACTCCTGGCAATGCAGATACTCTACGTAACTTTGCATTTGAACACCTTTGATACAGTTAAATTGAAATTGAACTTTCATTCAAAATAATTTTCCCTCACACTTATTGGTTATTAGAAAAGCTTGTACCTTTTTTTTACATGAATAAACATTACAATTGTAACAAATTTACATGTCTTGATATTTAGCACAAAGGTCACTCTCTAGCACACGAACTGTAGTTAGCAGAGGAACATTGTAGAAAGGTAATATAGTCCTTGTGGAACTTTTTGGGAGTCATTTTAAAATGACTACGTATTATCTTGAAAGACAGGTACCTTCGTTTGACCACTGTTGTCTTTTATCTCAGTCTTATTGAAAACTGGCAGTGTCCCCGTGATAACGAGGCCAAGATCCTGTTGTGCAAAGTAGAAAACACACATGTCAGTAAAATAAGAAAGCAGACAATAAAAACAGTGATTTATTTAAATAGTAACGTATTTTACTGGGGCTAACCAACTATTATACTGGAAAACACTATTAAGACAAAAAAAGGTTGCATTTCTGAAAAGCAATAAAGGGTTATAAATGCTCAGTTTTCTATTACAACAGACGTTATTATTACAAAACAAAAATGTATTGCAAATAGTGTCCATAGATGTATGGTATGAGAACAAGAACTGCGAACATCCTTCTGAATGACAACTTCACTTCACATCCCTTCATCTTCCAGTAACAAGAGAGAAACAGCAACAGAAATCAGGTCAATAGCCCTGTGATCACTGATAAGACAGAAAGTGAGGGCAGTCACTTGCTTCTGCTTTCTCGGAACTTCACTTTTTGTATAATATACAGTAACTGTTGTAATAAATGTATTTTTTAAAATTTTCATATCACGAAAATCCTGTAATGTGAGCTGAAACCAATGTAAACAGTTTATTGTTAGGAATGTATACTGTACAGTACAGTATGCATGTCTGTACTGTACACTGTCAGAGTCCTTCAGAAATACCCTAAAAGATGACCTTTGTAAAGCAATTGTCTACCACTTCACTGCTGAAGAAAAACAGAAGGACTCCAAGTTGTATAGTTTACAGACTGCACCCCTGCAAAATGGTTTGTAAGATCATTTTGATCTACATCTGATACTTTATTATTAAGCAGTCCATAAAGCTAATTAAATAAATAGTAAAGGCACTATGTAAAATACATTTTAATAGATACGGTTAACTGTACTGTTTTTTTTCATGTGAAACATAATAATGAGAATTTGCATTTATACTACTGTATATTAAAATTAAAATTGTGTTTGTGGAATTTGTTTTTCAAAGAGAATGAAGAGTGAAATAAGATCCCAAAAAATAAAACCACAAACCAGCGCATCAAGATAGACATTTGTCCATTGTACTTGTTTGGCCTTTTTATCAGCCAAAACCATTGGCCTTCCCAACACGTCAAGGTACTCCTGAAATAAAAAAAGAGTTGCTTCTTCAACCTTTAAAAATAAATGTGCATGCATTGGAAGATTCAAGTCACAGCTAAAATATTTTAATGTTAACCTGTGACTTGCAAATACAAAAATATAAGGTGTTTGATATTATTAAACTACTATGAATTAAAATGACATTCTTTAGAAAAGTGCTCACTAAAGTCAGGAAGGTCACTTAGCAAAGCTGATATCAACCTTGATAAATAGTTTTGAGTAATTAAGCACCTTGTTACAAAGATGAAATATTTTTTCAATATTTTAAAATCAAACAGAAATTGATTTTACTTCAGTGCAGACAGATTACTATGGTACACGCAAAGAAAAAAAGATAAAACAGCAAAATTCTAAAGATATGGCCAGTCATAATGAGAACAGCCAATGTTACTAAAGTTTGGTGTTTAAACATGAACAGTACAACCTATTTCACTAAAAATCTGTAAAAACAGTCAAATTTGTTTTACACAGTACCTGTGTGTTGATTCTTATTGCTCCAATGGAAGGAATTTCATAGTAATATCCTAAAAAAAACAACATACAATTTATTTAGTTTCATACAATGTATAATTATTCTCTTCTTTGTCAGATGCATATGGTAAACCCACATAATACGTGAAAAGTTAGGAGTATACAGTAATAATTAATAACTATTCATTGTCGATTTAACACAATAAATCAAGTTCTATATAGAGCATTACTATAATAAGGATGTCATTGTTCTGTATGGGACACCTTAAATCCTACACATACAGTACAGTAAAAAACTCCCTACAAAGCCTAGACTGATGATTGACATTGAATAAGCAGCCATTGTAGTAACAGGTCTGTTGTAAAACTGAGATCTGTCCACCTAATGATCCATGAAAAAAAAAAATCCATCTCCCACACTCCCACAAAAGCATGCCATCAACACATCAAGAAATAGCTACGAGCCAAGATCAATCATTTAACATTATGATAAATCACATGATGAATTATAAACCAAAACCTGAACAGTGGCATTAAGCATTTTGAAACAAAGACATCATGTCAAAATAGTGCATTTATGAACAGTACATAGGCATTGTCTGATTGATATTTAAGAATTTTGGCCAATCTGTAAATATTCATTATGGGCAGTCTTTACTTCATATATGAAATAATACCTTTATTTGCACAGGCCATCCACTGTATTGGTCCTTTATCATAGTTGTGCTGACCAACAGAAAAAGTAAATACACGGACCTAGAGAATATAAAATGATTTCTATTAAACACATTCAAATGTTACTTCCATAATTGTTTATAAGTTTATGTAGAATGTAGGAAAAGAAATGCAGAATTTTCTAACATTTATACATCAAAATGTTAAAAATACAATAGTATGAGTATCATGTGTATCAAAAGTATTAGTGTAAAAATATATTTATATCTAACCCCACAAGGCAAGTCGGGCCCCGACTAGCTCTGTTGGTAGAGCACGAGACTCATAATCTCAGGAGAGTGGGGTCGTGTCCCACATCGGGCGCCAGGTCCTCCATGTTGGAGGTTGGGCACATGGCTAACAATTCTGTCCCGTAAAAAAACTAATGTTGCTGCCCCTACATGTCAGAAGGCATAATGGGCAAAACATCCATCTACACAAGGCAAGTTTTAATAACACTATATTTCTTCTACTGGACCAACATTTCTATTGCCATTTAGGTATAAAAAGAGCCTATGCACAGAAGCAATCCAATCAGTGCCATTCATATTCATTGGTGAATCGTCAGACGTTCACAAACACAATTTGTGACCTCCACAACTCTGCTGCCAGCAATGAAAAAAATGAATCTCGGCAATATCCAAAGCCAAGAAGCTCAAGGCTTGTGGGATGATTGCAAATGTCCTTCATGAAATGTAGTTTGAAAAGATAATTCAGGTCTATAAGCAATATTCTTTAAGAAGCTTTGGCATAATCAGATTACACCTCCAACGGATGAGAGTAAAATCTTGGTGTCTGGTTAAATTCCACTTTGGTCTTGTGCAATCTGGTCTAGAAAAGTCCCTTAATGTAGCATTTTCTCAATTCTTATCCTGATCTATAGTTAAATGGAGCTGCTGTCACATGTCGCCCAAATGGGCACTGTACTTAAATTGCAGATGGAGATGGTCTCCAACTGAATGTAATACCCTTTGGGATCTTTTGGGATGGAAGACTCTACCTACACTCGAGGAAATATGATTAATAAACAAAACCTACCAGGGCATTCAAATAAATATAATAGCGCCTTCTGTTAAAAAGCTCAAGCTTGGTCACAAACGGCTGTCAAGAAGGATAAGAATTCAAAGCACATGTCAAAGTTTACTGTATGACAAAATGATTAAGGTAGCTAGTGACACGGCTCAGACCTTAATATCATAACAAGCTCCATCCTGAGCACTGAGTGAGTGCTACTCAATATGTCCCTATATGTCCATATTTTTGACAACTCTTAATGATATACTATTGATCCTTTTAATGCACAATACCGATGTTCATAAATCATAGTACAGTACATTATAGAAAATATGTTTTGAGTGTGTTTTATCAAAATGCTGAAAAGAATGCACTGTACAGTAAGTGCATTTAGATAATAGATTAAAAAAAGATCCTCCTATTGTGATGTAAACTGCAGAGGCTGGCATGATGCACTGTGCAATTAAAATTGTCATTAAAGCAGAACAACTCCTTTAGGCGTTAAGTTCAGATCCTTTATTCACATGCATACACGCAAAAACAAAGCAAAATAAATAAACAGAGAAGCACCTCTTCCACAAATATGACTTTCACACACATTTCTGTCTGGCAGATAGCTACAGTACACATCACAGACTAGGAAACAAGGAGCCCTTCTGGGGAAGGGTGAACCAGATGTCATTTTATTGATGTGACAGTGTGGTGCCGCGGATGAACAAGGAAGAGAACCAGAATGGATCTGCCACTCAGAAAACACAATTAATTGGGGGTGGTTTAAATGATTGAAATGTAGAGACGTGCGATACAGTTTTAATGAACTTCAAACCAGGCAGCTCAAACACTGTGTTTAAACATGAAGTGGGACAATAACAAATCAATTGAATTATGCAGCCATCCTTTCAAAGCCAATATTGCGCTACTGGAATAGGTTTTTCAAAAAGAAGTCCATTTTTCAAAGACAAATAGCATGTGGATCCCAATCAGTGAAAAAAGAAACAGTGACCCATTCCAGATTATAGAAATTATAGTTGTTGGGGGAAAAATAGGACAAGTAAATGTAAAAAAGTCTTGAATATGCCAAACAAATTTACAGAAAAATTAAAAACAATCAAAGAAGAACTGCTTTTACTCAATGGATCTTCAAAACCACATCAATGCTCCTGCTTCTAAGTATAGTTCTACATTACTGTCCACAAATGTTTAGAGTGTGATGTAGGATGTACACATTAATAATGTCAAGGCCTGCAGGTGTACTGCCCGAGGTCAAGAGGTAATTAGTCCTCCTTACAGTATGTCACTTTCCAGAGTATTATTCCACTGAAAACCCTTCACCACAGCCTGCAAGTCACACAGACAAGAGTTGAACCTGTGATTTTCAGGACATGTCATAAGCTCTAGCTGCGACCCTTAAACTAAATAAGACAGTCGAGAGACTGGAGGATGGCATTTTTAATTTGAAATGTCCAAAGTTCCAAATAAAGTTGTAAAAAACAATAATGTGCTATTGGTAATGCAACAAATAGCCAAACAATATTTAATTTGTTATTGGTATTGATACAATTATCTGCATCTTAAGAACAATATATATCCATGGCATTCATGTTATCTTAGAGCAATCGATAGTGTCAGTTTCTGGCACTAAAATCTACTTACCTTCCTCTCTGGGTTGTATTCTTTAAAAATCTCTTCAGCCCTTTCTTCTCCTCCGTCAGTGAAGAGCATAATTATTTTGTTGCAGTGTGCACGGGAACCGTTAAACTGAAGATATTCAAAAATCTTTTATTAAATCCTGCAGGGGTTTTGAAAATCTCATCTAGCTCTTGAACCAATCCATCTGTCCATTTTCTAACCACTTTCTTCAATAGAGGGTCTCTGGGGAGCTGGAGCCTATCCTGGCAAGCACTCTCAAACAAGTATTTGGTAAATATCAAGTGTTACTCTGCAAAGTAAGTATTTTTCAAAGAGGTGGTTTGAAAACGCTCCTCACGGACGTATTACAAAACCCTAAGTTTAAAAAATAAAACAGGAAAATGCACCACGGAAACATGTCTACGGCACACTAAACATATTCAGAATTTCTGAAAGTGTTAAATTAAAAAAAATATATATATATATATTTTGTACAGTAAAGAGTGTTGTTGGTATTTTCAACAAAATCCGAGACATTAAAATATGAACGCATCAAAATATGGAACTTTAAAGTTTTACTCAGCCAGAATTTGAACTCAGTATTGTTGCGATACTGTGTACATCCAGCAGGTGGCAATGCTTCATAATAATGCACTGCGACAGTGCGCCTGATTAAACCAAAGGTGGCTTTATTAACAACAGGATTCTTACTGGAAGTCAACATTAATAACAGGGTGGATCTTTAAATTCTATTAAACAACAGGAAAAAAATCCCAATGTGGAAATTGTGAAAAGACATTTCTACATTGCACCACTTATAAAATTCACTCTATACCATTTAGATATTCTCCTGCTGTTTTTCCATTAAAAACAAACTTGGGTTTTCTACACTGTCAGCAAACACAGTGTTTTCTAGATTTTCTTAACACAAATGTACTGTATTGTGTTTTCTTCAGTACATCTGCTGCTGCCTTTTGGTTATAAACACAGCAAAGGTCTGCAGTTGGAAAAAATTGAATTTGACGCTACAATAGGATTGTGAAGTTGCTGTTGGACCCTGAGAGAAAAATATTCTTGGACAAAGAGTGCAGACTGTCAAAGATAATACAAGTGATGCCATGTTATAATTTAAACGCTTTGGAATGGTTCTGAAAAGCCAAGAAGAAGACTTTACAACCACTTCAGAAGTTATCAGACCAGGCCTACTCAACTTGCACTCCTCTCATCCACTCCATTACATAGCTTTGCTGCAACCAACTCCTTAATTATTTGGTTGATAGCAAGCAGATTCAATACAACAATACAACATTGTTCGTATCAAAGCGCTGTGATGGGATGGATTGTGAGGACCTTAAGTTGAGTAGACAATACTTAACCTGATTCTCAGTTACCATCTGAAAACAAGATATTAGTGTCTTTGGCTACCACATTTAGCCATCCCCCTCAGACCACACCTACACCATCACCATCTACAGTACCTCTTTATGATTTCTTATTTATTGCACATCTCCAGTCATTGTTTACACGTCTGTATTGTTTACATTCAAACTGTCTACATGTTTACTTGCACACTGTCTACTGTTTGTCTGTATATTGTCTTGATGCACTGTTTGCACTTTGTTTTGTTTTTTACACTTGTTTTACAATCGAGAGACTTTCTGTAAGTAAAAATTCCATTGTACCAGTACCGGTTACACATGACAATAAAGTTCAAGTTCAAGTACCAATGAAAATCAACAGACAATCTGCGGTCGTTAAGTCATAGACAATAAAAACTGTCCATGAAATAGCCACCTTCAAACCTTTTTTTTGCATTTACATGGCGGTATGAGTAACATAATGACAAACACTGTGCTTATAAGCCATGTATCATTTAATTTTAATTTAATTTAATCTTTATAGCTTTCCTTTTTTTTTCTTTATTTCTGTTTGTGAACTTTTGAAAAATGAACAATTTTTGTGATGTGTGACTGAAGATAATTGAAGAAGCAGTGTAACCTTATTTAACATCCACGTCTCCAAGGTAGACATTTTCTCACTAAAGTGAATAGCTTCCTGTGACAAAATAGCATAGCAGCAGAATTTGGTCAAAGCAAATAGTGACAAATTGAGTGACTTCTACAGCAGGTCAAGAAATCAACAAACTTTGTAGTATGTCATGTTAATTACTCTGACAGTGATCAAGACTGACAACATCAGTCAAGTACTGATGTGTAAGCTCCGTTTTCTACATGTACTCTGTAAACCTATCTGATTTCACACTGGCTTCTGATACGACCTCAGGAACTAAGAAGAACATGGAAAGCACTTACTTCTGAAAGCTGTTCAAAGGCAAACTTGAAACCCTTCTTATAGTCGGTTATTCCTTTTGCTGTGATATTTTGAACATCGTCTTTTAACTTCTTTTTGTTTCGAACATTAGCTTGAACGAGATGGTGGAAGCAGCCAACATAGTTCGCTTCTTTATTGAACTGAAACAAAAAAAAACAATGCATTATTCAACACACCTACTGTACTGTATATTTATGCCGTCTGCTTTCAGCAGGCTTGTTAAAACCTGGATTAGACTTTCTAACTAAATTGCAGCTCAGTGGAATAAAGAACAGTTTTGAAGTTTAGATTTACTTGGCCCATGGTAGTTACAATGCTTTGGTCATTTTTGCTTGGCTGCTTTGGAATTTTTCTGGTTCTGCTCAATTGCCTCCAGCGTCTCTCATTTCCTTCCTTGGATTCTCCCACAATCTATATTCTGATGACGTCCATGTGACAAGTGCACCACTTCCTGATCCTCTTAGGCTTTGATCTGGTCTTTCTGGTGCTCTGAATAGCAGTTCCACTCCTAGATAAAGTACAGGACCAAGTCTTCCTCCACAGACGAATTTGACATCTGTTCTGCTCTGCTCTGGTCCTGCCAACCTTCAATCATGGTTGCTACCTCGCTATAGAGAAAGTTCAGTTCCATTGTACTGAAAGATCAGGTCCTACTCTAGTCTACATTTACACTATCTAGATTTGGGGGGGAGGGGGGGTGATGTCACTTCTGTGAGCCTTGTTAGATTATACTTCTTTTCCATCTACTGTAACTCTGTCTTTTATAGATATACAGTATAACTGACCATTTCTGTACAGATGCATTTTAAGATCCTTGTTCTTCCCTACCTTTCCCTTCATTTCTCTGCCTCAAAGGTGTGAAACATTTTGTACAAGTAACCTTGCAGGATGTTATTGCATGAGAAAAAACAGATTTTGACATTCATGCAATAATTGTGAATGGGGGAGAGTGAAGGGTCTCTGTGGGCCTTATTAAGCCATAAAGACAAATGAGGAGGTCAATTAATTTATCAGTAAAAACCAATCTTTCTATATTCATAATAGCATTTCTATTAAATGAAAACCTACTAATAAGTTTTTTTTATTAAACTGTATACAGTATAGATCTTGCATTTTAATATGAAAACACTTGGTCATAATAGTTTTACACAAACCATTTCCTAAGAAATTCTGTCAAAGTTTAGTTGATCCTGAATATTTACAGATCAGAAGACAACCCGGTTTTGTTTTTGTACTTAATTGTAACCCCATTAATCAACAGCATTAAAATAAACAGCAAGTACTGTTTCCCATCATTGCACAATTATTTAAATTTCTGAAAAGGCACATTCACCAGGACATAGAAGCATTCTCTAAATGCTATGAAATATCTCAGGCTACCACATAACTATTACAAATTTTACCAAAAGGACGACTGCCTTATTTTTTTGTGCTACACATGACACTTGAAAACACAATTCTAGATATTAATGATGAAAGAAATCTTTTGATTTGTCTCTCTATAAAAGAAACTCTTGACACCACGAAGCAGGCGCTGCATTAAATGCAAGGAAAAATTCTCATAAAAATACAGGGTGCATTTGTGAGTCATTGTATCAGTGGTTCACAGCAGGCACTGTCAAAACACACAGGGCTGTGCATGCATGAGCTGAAAAGGAAGTTATATCCATATTGTGTTGATTAACAACTGTGAAGAAAAAGTGCAAAACAGAAATTCAGTTGCCCCTCAGAACTCAGTTCTGAGTTAAAGGCATCCCTAAACCACGCAAAACATGTCTGTCACACTGAAGAGCTATAATTTAGCTTGGGAGTTTGTCAATGACATTTGAAATCAATTTGTGTACAAATGAACAGGAAAGAATCTAAGCCCATGAAGGGAAAATAAACGTAATTATTCATGATGATGGTGAGTGTCTTTACATAACAGCACATTCTGACCATAGATAAAAGCCCTGTCTAAAATAATCTTGTTTTTTTGTTGTTTTTAGATCCATGTACAATATGTCAGGGATTATATAAGTGCAGATAAATAAAAATTAAAATAAGAACACTTTGCATTATGACACTCGTTAGCTCATGAATGAAGTGGAATGCAAAATGCTTATTATAACGTCCAATTAATAGTGTCTTATTGCCCACTGGCATTCTTCTTTGCAAACATCTCTCCATTATTATCTGAGTCAGCAGATGATTGCAAATAGGGAGCATTACATAGAATAAGAATTAAGGCCATGTAGCTACTGTACGATGATGTTTTATAATTTAATAGTGAAATGAAACACCATATTTTATATGTAATTTAATGTACTATGACAGAAGGACTCTGCAAAGGACTGGTGTCCTGTCCAGGGCGTATCCTGCTTCGCACTAATTGTTTTTCCATTTCAGCACTGTGGCCCTACAATGGGCTAATTAGTTGTTGATAAAGAATAGAAAAGACTGTAAGCGAGACTATAAATGTTGAAGTCACTCACCATCATGAAGTAATTATAATGTTAACTTTAGGAAATCTCTAGTATATGAAATACAGTGCCTCCAAATACTGCATTCAATTTAATTAAAAGAGATTACAGTATATTCATGAATCTCTAAAGCCTGTGATTTATGTCCTGAAAGAATTTATACCACAAAAATCCCTTTAATTTGTTCAGGGGTTTGGGTGATTTTCATCTAATCAAACAGTGCCCTGTAGTTGCCATATACTATGTTTACCTCTGAATTCCCCTCCCTTTGGTTAAGACTGGAAAACTTTGAAAACATGTCACTGAGAGAACAATCGTTGACTTTTCATGTACTGTACTTTTGTCTGTAGGTTTAAAAAAACATTTGGTTTACTTTCGGCTAGTTTCAGACAACAATCCACACCTTCATGCATTTTTAAATTTACTACATTAACTGAATGTAAATGATAGACTTTTCAAGTTGATTGAATGGCTAAAAAGGCTCAAATCCTATTTCAGTCTTGTCAAAGGTCTTTTCAGAATCTGTTTCTTCTTACTTGGCTAGAAGTTATATGTGATGCACATACCCAGGTAAGAATTTTATAATACTTTTCAATTGGTTAATAACTGACTGAATTACCAAATCTACTCAAACACTTGGTACACACTCCCAGTAGGAACTGTAAGAACTATTGTATGCAAGTACTGGGAAAAAGCCGTTTTTCTTCTTACAGCAATAATTTTATCACATTTATATATTATCATTATCTTCTGATAGATACTGTATATATACTGTATCCGTATCATTTATCCACATAAAATGGACGCCAATGAGTCCTAATCACTTATACAGTACATTGCACTTGGAAGGTTTCCCTGAGCCCTCTAACTCAGTTTTTCAGGGGATTAACCCCTCTGATCCTATTACTGTAGCCCTGTATACAAAATGAAACTAGTAAAGCTGGATTAAATTCCATGAGAGGCCTAATCTAATAAACGCCATTATACTGCACTGCTCATTTCAACAAAACTAGGTCACAAAGCTACTTAACAAGTAATGTAACAAATATTATTCCTATGTTGCGTTCACCATTGCAATGGAATTTCACTGGGTTTATCCCTCAGTGGCTGGCATCCAACAAAGAATCGAGTAGATCTGGAACTAAATTAAATTAAATATGTATTATTAAGATTTTATCTGCACCAACAGAAAAACAAATCTCAAAATGTAAATAATTTTTTATCATTGAGAGCAATCTGTTTTTTTGTTTCCATTATTCCTGTTATACTGGGCATGTTAAATCATTTCCTACCAATAAAAACTAAGATATGAAGGTGTGCTGTAATCCATGTGCTAAAGTAGTTTTGATTCTTAACTTCAGGAGCCTGTGCTGATAATAGGCATTCAAGAACAGAAAAAAAAACTGCTGCAATTATTTTTCAATTTTGTCTGTAGTGATATGCTCTGCAAGATATGTAAATCAACATACGATTAATGATAGAAGTGTTTTTTGATACTGCTAGATCACCACATGTAGAGCTATACTTCTGCAGAACCTGATTTATGCATAGCAGGTAATTCATGTTATATTGAATTCTATTGCCCTGACACAAAGGACTATGTACTTTTACCTGTTAAGCAATAAACAATGTGCAAGATTCCCAGGACATTAATATTTATACAAGCTATGTTAAAATAAGCAAATGATTACCATTAAAAAGCTAAGAAGCAGGACGTCTGCAAATCTATGTTTTGGGTTTGTCAAATCTTGTAAAAATCCTGCAAGATGCCACAGCTGCCATGAGATTGGAAAACCCTGTGATGAGATTAATATGCTAGTGAAAATGTGCCAAAGTGTGAAAGATAATATAAAAACTACTTACGTATATATGTATTATGAAATCAATTAAAAATGCAAGAACTACAAGTTTAACAGGATTGCTTTAAAGCCTACATATGAACTTATTTTGTTTTCCTTTTACATATTAACAATATAAAGTATTTCTAGATTGAGTTTTACATCCTTCCAATACGTATGCGGGGAAAAATTCCAATTAGGAGGAGATATTTTACATTTAGCATATTCCACAGGCCTAATAAAATCAATAAATTGCAGAAATTAAAAAATTACAGTAATTAAAAATTACTAAAAAATTACATGAGATGGCACCGCAAGACAGAAGTATAGATTTAAAGTAATTTACATTTTCTGTCCTCAAAAAGGACTGGATGGAAAGACGCTGTGCCCGTGTCAGGCAAATCTTCAGACTGCCTTAGGCGAAGGTGGAGGTTTATGGATGTGAATGATAAATGATTTAGTATCAGGGAGGTTAGGGCAACAGGGAAGTGGTTTATGTATTTTTCAGGATTACAACCTGTGCACTGCCATCTGCTAAAGGGACTAGAGGAGCACCCTTGACAAAGGTGACCCTAAACAATACAATCTATATTTATATCAACACAAATATCAATGAGATACTGTACTGTATATACTCAAATATAGAGCTATAAAACAAAAAATAAAATCTGTACACTGACAGCCTGAACCAAGTTATTAACTTTCTAACCTCAATATACTGTAGCACCAATTTAATATAATAAGATTCATCATCATGCTGTCTAAAAGATTTCTTTGCGTTAACATTTAACCATGTTTACTCTCTTTTCAGACAGCCCTTCAAAGATGGGCGAGGTGTGA